CTGGTCACGTTGCGATCTGCCGGGGTCAAAAGCTTTGGGACAAATAGATAGGTAAGATGGTCAGATTAGATGGATGGATGGATGGATAAGTAGATGGGTGGGTAGGTAGATGGGCACGAAGATAAATAAACAGACGGATGGATGGATAGATAGAGGGATAGCTGTAGCTAGGTAGATAGATAGATTGATAGATAGATTGATAGATAGATAGGTAATTAAGTGAGAGAGAGAGAGAAGGATAGATAGATAGATAGATAGATAGGTTGATAGATAGATAGGTAATTAAATGAAAGAGAGAGAGAGAGACAGAGAGATAGACCGGTAGATAGACAGACAGACAGACAGACAGATAGATAGATAGATAGACAGATAGATAGATAGATAGATAGAGACATAGATAGGTAGGTAGGTAGGTAGATAGTCAGAGAAAGAGAGAGAAAGAGAGAGAAGAGAGAGAAAGAGAGAGAAAGAGAGAGAAAGAGAGAGAAAGAGAGGAGACCTCAAGCACCTTTCGGTCCATCAGTGGATTCGCTCTGCCATCCGTGATTCACAACAACCAACCCCTCCTATAGGTTTCCTATTTTTGAAACTTCCGCCACCGCCTTGTGCGGTACTACTGGTAACTACACTATAACTACAACTGCAGCTACAAGTGCGACTGCAACTACAGATGCACTACACTTCACTCCACTAGGCTTTACGCAGGCTACACTGCACAATAATGTACAACTGCAGCTACAACTACACTACACGACACTGCAGGACACCACACTACAAACTAGAACTAGAACTAGAACCACCGCAACTGCAACTCCAACTACAACTACACGCCACGAGACTACAACTACATTATACTACACTACACCACACTGCAGCTACAGCTACAGCTGCAGCTGGCCTACAACACTACAATGTCACTACAACTATAACTGGGACTGCAACTGCACTACAACTACAACACTATACCGCACTACAGCACAGATGCAGCTACAGCTACAGCTAGGGCTACAATTACAACATACAACTACGCTATGCTAGAAAGATAGATAGACAGAGAGAAAAACAGAGGGGGAGAGAGAGAGAGAGAGAGACACAGAGAGGAGGTGACAGAGAGAGTTAGAGAGTTAGAGAGTTAGAGACACAGAGAGAGAGAGAGAGAGAGACCCAGAGCCTCAACCACCTTTCGATCCATCGGTGGGTTTGCTCTGCCATCCATGCATCACAACAACAAACCTGTCCTATAGGTTTCCGATCTTTGAAAATTCCGCCACCGCCTTGTGCGGTACTTCTGGTATTTGTTCAGATACAGTCATTGACAGTGAAGGTATGTTCACATGATGAGAAGGATCATGTCGATTCAGATGATGGCCCAAACACAGGGAGCAAGGATAGCGCCTACAAGTTAAAGCGTTGTGACGTGAAGCAGTTTTCCAAATAAAAATGAACAAAACAGTTCAGGTCCGAAGAACTTTTGACAGTTGAGATGTTGAGAACGTGCACGCCTTTGTGGCGCGAAGCACATGTCGAAGTAAAAACACTGAAAGCACAACATGTCCGGGCCACTTTTGGACGTTACAACCGCACCACGCTACACTACATCGGCAGCAACAACAACAACAAGAACCACCACCACCACCACCACCACGACGACGACGACGACGACGACGACTACTACTACTACTTCTACTTCTACTTCTACTTCTACTTCTTCTACTACTACTACTCCTACTCCTACTCCTACGACGACTACTACTACTACTACTCCTACTACTCCTACTACTCCTACTACTCCTACTACTCCTACTACTCCTACTACTCCTACTACTCCCACTCCCACTCCTATTCCCACTCCTACTCCCACTCCTACTCCTACTCCTACGACGACTACTACTACCCCTACTACTCCTACTACTCCTACTACTCCTACTACTCCTACTACTCCTACTACTCCTACTACTCCTCCGACTACTACTACTACTACCACTACTACTCCTACTACCACTACCACTACCACTACTACTACTACTACTACTACTACTGCTTCTACTGCTACTACTGCTACTACTGCTACTACTGCTGCTACTACTACTACTACTACCACCACCACCACCACCACTACTCCAACTTCAACTTCAACTTCTACAGCTACAACTACGGTACAGCCACACCGCGCTACATCCAGCAGTTGTGGGTGAGGTGACCGCTGCAACCATTCTGAAAAGCATAGCTCCAACCACTCTTCGGTCCCATCAGTCGATTCGCCCTGCCATACATGCAGCCCAACAACTCGCTTCTCCTATAGTTGCCTATCTTTGAAACTTCCACCTGTCTGGTAGGAGTTCAGATAGAAGTTGTTTTACCTGGAAGCTAATGCTGTGTAACAACTCCTGTGTAACAATTCCCGTGTAACAACTCCTCCATAACCACTCCTGTGCGACAACCCCTGTGCACATGACATTGTAGAAGTTTTGTAGGAAAAATGTAGGCGTTGATCACCTGTAGATGATGTAGATGATGTCGGTGACAGTGATATGTAAGAGCTCCTGTGTAACAGCTCCTACGTGAATAAGGGTAGGAATTTTGGAGGAGATGTGTGGAAGTTGATCACCTGTAGGTGATGTTGATGATGAAGATGGTGTAGGTGATGTAGGTGATGCGGATGATGTAAGTTATGTAGATGAAGCAATTCTTTGGGAAAAACCCGTTGCAGGAGCTTTCGGGAACAACAGAAGAAGGGCAGCAAATGGATCCGGAGATGGAAGAAGGCAGAAGGACGGCAAGGGCATATGGAATGCTCTTGGCAGGTCGCCTGAAGAGGAAGATGACATGGGCTGGAATGGCTTCACGGGGCACAGCTGATGAACGGCGACCGGCTGATGCTCAGGGACCAGGTGGAAGTTCGCCATTGAGGAAGCTTTCAAGATGACGGCAGTCGCTCCAGAAGAAGGCGCTGATGTAGAACAACATGGTGGAGGAGATGGAGGGCCTACCGCCACCATGGCAGCAAAAGCTATATGGCGCCAACAGGGTCAGCTGCGAATGATGGCAGCGGGACACAGCATGATGATAGAGAGGAGGCCTTGCAGTGATGGGGATGAGAAAGCACCAAAACTGCCTCCGAGACGGTTCAATCAGGATAGGGAAACAGCCCCTTCCATGCGGGAAGCAACAGCGCCCTCGAGCACTGCGGCAATAACCCTTCACCGTCCATGGGGTCTGCCAGGGCAGGATGCCGCGCGCACCTTCCATGGACGCCCTGTATGGTTATATAACCGAGTCGCAAATATGAATGATACAGCGGCGGCTGCCAAATCTGCAGGCCTGCTCTAGCCGGGCGCGGACTGCTCGGGGTGAAGGGCCTCCCAGCCAGACCAATAGCATGGGTCACGACAAGCTGCACCAGAGGCCGCAGCCAGCTCAACCACAAGGACACAAGTGGCTGCACAGCGCGAGTGTCCTGGCGCAGACGCTTGACTATAAGGATCGGCCTGCGTCCGGTCTCAAGGCCGCGAGGCGGCAAGAGGTGAGAACGCTGGGACGCTCGCAGCGCTGAGAGCCGGGCACGGTGCCTTCAGCCTGAAAATTATGTCTTGCACATGGCAACGGCCATGGGGGGGAGTGTGAAATGGATCAGTGTAGGTCAAGGGTTGCACCTGTTCACATGGACGCAACACTGCAAGTGCAGCTCTTTTCTCCAAAAGTGTGCGCAGCTCTGCGCAGGTCCAAAATCGGTCCCCCAATTGTTTCTCAATTCTCTTCCACTTGTCTCCCACTTCTGTCCCTGCAGATGCGGCCCCAGTTGCCTTCCACTTGTCCCCCACAATGCCCGTTGTCTCCATGTTGTCTTCCAGTTGTCTCCGGGATGTGGTCTTCAATTGTCTCCCAAAATTTCCCCAACTGTCTCCCAGATGTGGTCTCCCAATTGTTTCCATTTTTGCCACTTTAGCCTTGCATTTGAAACCGTCACTGCTGTTGGGTGGCCAGGCTGGGTTAATTAATTCAAGGAATCGAACTCACGCGCCAAGAAAGCCTTTCTGAGCTCCGGTCCAATGTGAAAGCGGAACTTGAGCTTGGTTCCCTCAGGTATGACCAAACCAATCGCGCACCAGGAGTCAGCTTGTCCACTGGTCATTCGCGTCCGAGTTCTTTTGGCCGCTTTTCCATAGTAACCATTTGGCCAGAACCTTTGAACATGTCAAGGAAAGCAATGTTCACAGAACAGCGTAAAATTGAACTGGAGGTTTCTTAAAATCGGGGACCCCCAAAACCATAGGTTTCAATACTAAAACATTTTCACAACTAACGTGGTCAACTTTTGGATGATTTGGGGGTGCCCCCATTTTCCGACACATCCAACTGTGGAAGACAGAGTTGCAAATTCATATCCCTACTTCCTCAATGTCAGGTCTTTGTCACTGTGCAGGTCCGCCCTGAATAAGAAGCGCCTCATTGATGCCATATCTTCCCCTGAGAACTGACAAACGCTTATGGCTTATTGCCGCTCCCAGGACAGGGGGAAGTCTCACTACTTTGTGCCTTTCATCCAACAGTGGCTGCAAAATTACCAAGTGCAACAATAGACTCTATTTAACGAGTTCGATTTCATCAGTGTCTCCTACAAAACCTTGTACTGACCCTCCCCAGATTTGATGCCGTACATAATGTACATGGATGCGTACACTATCAGATTGCAGGTATTGACAAAGCCAATCACGCAGGGATGCCTGTGGGGTTTCACTGAAACCTCCACAAATTACAAGGAGGGCCTTCTGGTCTCCAGACTGCACCTTGCTGCTTATGTTTTCTAAAATGCTTGTTTTCTAAGTCTTTTTGAGTCCCATAGGGTCAGTAAGGACCTTGCCAATCTGGAAATATGACGAGGAGATATACCTTGGCACTTCAGGCTGCGGCGGAGTTGCTATGCATGCCATGTCATTTCTTGATGAGCTCAGTTCCTTGATGTTCCTATTGGCCGGCCTTGCGCAACCGAACAAAAATATGCCTCAAAGCTTAATGCCGAGATACTGTCCAGCTGGCACAAACACGTTCCAGTATTTCACTTGAAGCGTTTTCAGGTCAACCTTAAGCCGACGGATGGTCCAATCTGCTCGGTGGGTTGGCTCCTGGCAGATCTGACAGGTTGCAATGTGATGATGTTTGAAGAATCGGTGGATTGAGATCGCATTTACAAAGATTTGCAATGCTTCAAAGTTGTGATGGCCATACCAAGCCGTGAATTTCAACGACAACACCGTGCTCATGAGATCTCACCTGTGTTTAGAAGAAGCAAAGGGGCTTTTTGCAATAGCAGCGCTGCCTAAGAGTCATCAGGACTATTGGAAATACCGATGTATTCGAGTTCTGTATGACGGAGTCAGATGATCAGAATTTGAAGGGAGTATTGCTTGTGCAGAAGAGCAAGATCTCGCAGGACTGTGACACAAGAGAGGCCAGGACGAGGTACTTGAAGCCCGGGGTGAAGCTTGGGAGTCTGCGAGTTGCTTTTGTTGTACTAGACGCGAAGCTGCAAAAACCCTCGAAAGCATGGAAAACCAGCAAGTTCACAGGGAGACATAAACTTTTTCAGGTTTCCCAAATTCAGCATTAAAAGATGCTTTGGAAGATTTGCGCTTGGAACAAAAGGACAAGGTAGCACGAGAAATGAACAAGAACTATTGTCGAGGAGAAGGGGCATCATGGAAACAAAGAGAGCGAAGACAGAAAACACGAAGAGAGAAATGCGGTGACAAACAAATCAGAACAACTCTACGGGCTATAAATTTCAGGTTTTGCCTAATGTTCCGCTGCTTTGATCAATGGGAATTCCAGGATCCTAAAATGGAGGTACTGTACCATATAAGGCCATATTTTGTGGGGATCTTCCCTTACATAGGCCTTATATATATAAATATATATACATATATATATAGACCTTATATATGGTAGGTACCTCCAATTTAGGTTCCTGAAATGGACATTGATTTGGGCGGCAAAAAAAACTCCGGCTAGCTACCGTTTGCTTTTGTGGTATGACCCAACAACCAGGTACGTTCAAACGCAAGCATTTCTGAGGATGTCAAATGCAGTCCTTCAAGCCAATGGCATTGACTTCGCCATCTCGTGGCTTTATTGAATGGACCCGCACACCACCTTTTGGCTCTGTGGCTCAAAGAAGGGTCGCAGACTACGCAAATTCTGGAAAAACTGCCGAGAGAACAAAGAATAACAAAGAATAATTAGTCACGAAAAACTGACAAAGACTATCTCAAGATATCTCAAAAATCATGGAATCACAACCACTGAAAACCTGCTCCAGATCCAGCAAACATTCCAAACAGGAGCGCTGAAGGACCTGTGACTGGAGGTGGCGGTGGCGGGGGCACCAGAGCCAAGATTTCCTCCCAATCCTCTGGAATTCGCTTTGCTGGCACAAACTTCCGACCTGCGGCAGAAGGAGTTCCAAATCGTCTTCCCAGACTCTTCGGTCTCGTAACACACGAAAAAATTGGAAGAAGTTGAACACATTTGCAAATCTTTGAAGCATGAAAAAACACGGAAACCTAATGCGTAATATAATGTAATATTCCTGTCGCGTTCTGCCTCGAAGTGATTTTGGAAACCGTCTCCGCGGTGCGGGAGATGCTGCTCGGTCAAGTTGCACTCTTGTTGAGTCTGGGCTTTCTCGCTCCTGAGAAACACAGAGCATGCACCATCATGCAACGCTACAATTTGGATCCCGCAAGCCTAAACAGAAGAAAATCAAGAAAACGCATCCCTTATCTTTCCTTATTCGTGTGATAGCGGGTGGCAAAGACGACAGAACCTGTTGCGGACATGCTTTTGATGGTGGAATGTAGTACTACCCACATCTCGCGTCCCATAGGGCAAGGAGTGCCCGGCATACACACATTGCAAGTAAAAGAATGAACAATGCATATATGCAAATCCTTGCCTGCAAAGCTAGCTGTTGCACCTCTTTGCGCCCATTACATATGCTATCCATGCCTCTGAACATTTTCACTGATGACCTGTCTCTCTGTGATATTCTGTAATCATCTGTCCTTTTCGTGCGCGGCAGCTCTCTGAGGAGCAAAATCCTGCGCTGTCAGAGCAACATCCGTCATCCTGCCATATCCTGCCCTTCTATCATGCTTGTTGACCTTGCTTGGGCCAAGAACAGAGCTGTTGCCGGGTAAGAATCTGCGAACCCTGCAGAAACATTGAATGCTTCTGCCTGAGGCAGAATGCTGCGAGTTTCATGCCGTCAATTGAATTGAAGCCTTTCATTTGAGTCATCATTGCCACCCAGCCAGTTTCTGGCAAAATCTTTTAAGCACGCTGAAAATCGGGATCCTGCGGTATGGGATCGAAACAACCAGAGCCATCTGGAGCCATCAGTGCTCTCGAAAAAGGCGCGTGCAGCCGCTCAGTTTCAAATCAATGCCAACCTGCCACGGCGCGCCAAGGTTGCAAAACTGCAACTAACTTTTTCATACTTTTTCGGTTTCACAAGTTTCGCATCAATGTGCAAGCAGAGAAAAAGCAGTGGTCACTGGAACACGAAGCTTCTGCCAAACGCTCAGTGCATGCAGGAAATACAGAAACACGATCCCAAAAAAAGGGACAGCAAGAACAAGAATCACAGCACAAGCAAACTCAGACAACAGGAACTGCACCTGTTGTCATTCACAATCTGAATATTGAAGTGTGGATTTGCCAAGCTTGAATGGCCAGTAATTCTCCGGTTCTAAGCAAGCCCTAAACCCCCCGGAAGGCTCAGTGCAAAAGTCTCATGTTATCTCGTGTTGGTGGAGAACAGCCCACCCCACCATAGCGCGCAAGACGTGCTCGGTCATGCACGGCGCTCGAGAGGGCACTTCATGAGTTGTCTATGTTTTCATCAATCGCCAGGAACCAGGGAGATTACCTTTTAGCTTAGGGTCGAAGTCCTGCAAAGCTGCCAGAAAAGTACTACGAGTAGCAGTGGCTCTGCCTTCTCCTTGCGCCCAAAGGTGTTCCAAGTAGTCAGAGACCAGACCATCCATCAAATCCCTTTTAGTTGGTAGGACTAAGTTCTCTTTGTTCAAAAAGTCAAAGAAGTCGTCCAGACTAGCGCGATAACGGGTCTTGGTGGTTGCCTGTACTGTGAGACTTCTGAGTGTGCCTCGATTTTTGGGGACTTGTTTCCTTTCTTCTTTGCTGCGGGCTCCTAAGTTGGAGGCTATCTTTTTAACAATTTTTTCTTGATGCCCCAGCGAGACGGCTTGTCCGCTGGGTTGTCCTTGGTGTTCACGTAGCCCCACAGGGGTTGGAGTCCAGCTGCCAGAAGATAGGCACTTATCCGCATCATAGTTTTGTGCATCTTTCTTGAAGACGATCTACCCCTAGTAAGCGCATGCAGAACTACTAGGCTGTCTACCAGATGTACACAGCGCACACTCAATTGTTTCTTTTGGCACACTCTCCATTTCACCGTTGTAAGCACTGCCCTAGCCTCCAACACATTGATGTGTACTGGGTCCCCGGTCCACTTCCAACCGGCTACCGTACGCCACCGCCAAAGAGCCGATGGGATTCCCATCCTTAGTCGGTGATGACGAACAGGGACCTCCGAGGCTGACTGCAGAAGCAAGTCTTCTCCCTTAAGTGAAACTAGGCCACACAGCTTCCCCACTAAGTGGGTACTGGGAGAGAAAGTTTGGGTCCCTTGCCCCAAAGGGGGTCTCTGCACGAGCCCGTGCAAATTCAATGGCCGTTCGGCGGTCAGCATTCCGATGATGTCCTGCAGTGTGATGTGGTCTACAATGCCCAAGCGTTGCAAAAGCTGCCCCAAAAGCCATGCGACAACGCCTACCGACCAGGAGTTTCCCAGCAGGGTCAAACGGCAATCTTCATGGGAGAGGCTACCTTGCTCTCCCTTTTTCATGCATTGCTGCGTGTAGTTGGGAGGAAACCCCATGATGACCTCCCTTTCCCGTACATTAGGAGGTCTAAGCCCCCTTGGCTATCCACCAAACAGTGGCAGTCCATGTACTGGTAGGGGCGGGAAGCGGTGGCGTTGCAAAGCTTTAGACCCGCTGGACGCCTCAATGGCACTGAACTAGGCCTTGATGTGGTGAAGGTAGGGAGACCTTTCCCTTGAAGTTTCTTCCAACCTTTCTCCAAAAAAGCAACCTCGTCAACCTTTGCTGATAGGTTGACTTGTCCCTGTAGCGGCAAGCGCCCATCATGTCCCCATAGGATCTCAGCCCCTTCTTCTTCAACCAGCTCCCAAGTGATCCAATACAATCTGGGCCTATGTGCAAGGCTGATACCAAGGGCATCAACAAACCAGAAGTCCAAGCCAAACTCTGTATTCATCGTCTGACAGTCCTCATAGTCCATAGATGCCACATTCTCAGTTAACCCATGGACTTGTGCCCGCGGGAAATGCTTCTTGACCATTGTGGTTATACGGGGTACATGCCAAAAAAGTTTACTCCTAAGGTCCTTTAAAGCACCTTTGCGATCGGAATTGAGCCCTGATACCCCTTGGCAAGGGGGGCCCGATCCAATGAGGACCAAGCCAACATTGCTAAACTTCAAAGCCCAGCTGAGGACCATCTCCTCATTGTCATTCACCTGCTCCACATCGTCCACTAGCACGCTGTCGGGGAAATTAGCTTCTACCACCCTTTGTGCCGCAGGTTCTTTTCAACAGATATGTGTCCTGCAACAGGGGCCTTGAGGATGTCCAGGGCTACCCGGCTACCCGCAGGGCAGCAATGCCATCAAAAAGCCCTATGCTGAGCACCTGAGTCAGCTCTTGCTCCTCCGGCAGGTCTCCCCGGATAGAGCTTCGGCTGGCCGCCAGACCATATGGTGTCAACCCTTTGCTATGGCTGATGCCCCCCCCTGGGTTGGAAGCGTCGCTGGCTGTAACCATCTCATCAAAGGGGTGCCTTAAGTCCATAAAGGCTAGGGGGCAGAGTCCAATGCACCTGACAAGCTCCACCATCATTTCTCTTCTCAGCCATCTGCGTTTCCACGGCAAGTCTGCTTCTGCGTCCACAATCATCTGCCATATTTGGTTCAGGCTAGCCAGTTGAACATGGCAATGTACACCAGCCCTCCACCAACCACTTGCAGTTCCCTTTGGGGGGCCTTGCCCCTCCCTAACAACTCCAAAGCCAAGGCTATGTACTTTGCCACCTTCGAGGGCTTGGCACAGAGAGTGCCGCGCACCCCATCAACCCAAGCCCCTTGGACCTCTGCACTGAAAGCTTGCTCCACCGATTTTTTTCGGGTGTCTTGGGAGCATGCACTTGGCATACTGCTCCCTTAGATATTGGACCATCTCTGAAGGAGTTCCTTCAATTAGGTTCGCAGTTTTCCTATCCACCATCTGCAGCTGGTCAAAGTTGTCCAAATAACTCTGAAAAGGTTTGGAAAGGCTGTAAAGCTCCTATCCGTCCTATCCCTCCTAATCTCCTGGATGCTACGCCCCAAGCCCTTGATTGACCCCAGCGCCTTCTGAACCACCGCTCGGTAGATATGTTGGGCTACTCCAACACTGCTAAGATACCCCATGTGCAGAACACGTCCCGCCAAAAACTACCGTTTGTGACCCCCGCCTTCCGGGACCATACTGGGAGGAACTTGACGCCCAAAGCCTATAAATTGGACCCAGACCTGTGGCACTCCGAACAAGTAGTGTCATCATCATGTATGTAGATGGCACTCATTTGGGTGATGGATGGGAGTGTACCTACGTCTCCACATAGGGAACGGCTGATGGAGTTCCACGGCTTGAGATTCATGATCAATCTGGTTACAGGAATACCTTCACGAATTTCATCTTTGGCAACTGAAAAAAGGCCATTAAGCAAGGGGGAGCCATTGATAGAGTAGAGAGCTTCTTCACGAACCACCTGACATAGACCACGTGATGCCAACCCTTGTGCGAGGGATTCCCAACTTCCTTCTTTGACCATCACAGAAGGGGTCTTACCACTGGTCTGATCCTCCAACGGTACTAGGGTCTCCTCAATGTGTGTGATGAAATGCAAAACACCTCCAGTGCAAAAATCCCGAATATCCAAAGTGCCTACTTCAGAGGGTAAAGAGGCTTCAACACTTTCCCACCAAATAGGTTGAGCAAGACGTACTTCATCACCACTATAGTCTACCCCTTTCTTAGTGAAGAACTCCTCGAAGCTAATGTCGGGTAAACCTTCATCAAAGATTGGGGAACGTTCCAGAACTCCTCTCAACCTTTTGGTCAGCTAATCTCACCTGGACTGTGCAAGCTGTTTAAGCTACCCACTACTGCTTGGAGAAAAAGATCTACGTGCCCAGCTTGACAGTGGAGCGTTAGCACTGGAATAGGAAAAAGTTCCACACTTCCAGCCTTGGACCTTGGCCTGCAACTTGGAGTAAACATTTTTTCAAGCATCATCAACGCATCCACTACAAACTGTCCCAGGCTTCCTACACGCAGCTCTTTGCGGCCCCCGGCCAAAAGCGCCGTCACGAGGCCGTGCATCTTTTGGTGAAACTCTTGGGAGCCTGATGCATCTTTGCGGCTCCCTTCTTCAGCTCCTTTCTCAAATTCGCATGCAGGTGGGCTCTCCGAACGCCACTCCGGGTTGCCCGTTGAAAGCGCCAAAGCACAGTTGCGAGCATCGTCGATCAACTGCTCCACATCTTCGGCGGTGATACTTTCAGCCATCCTCAGCCTCTTCGATGATGTGCCACTTTCTTCTGCCACCACAAAGCCCTCAGCCTCTTTTCCTTCCTTGGGAGATCGTTTGGTCTCATCTCCCCTTTGCTTCTCATCCTTTTGGGTACCTCTGGAGTCATCCACAGTCGTTTTCTCTAAGATCGATCTTTTTTTTGCCATGAGTCTTTTTTGTCATCTTTTCCACCTCCGCTTCCTTTACCTCTGCCTCCATCTGTGGCCTGACTCTTGTAGGTACCCTTCCCTTCTTTGCCTTTCTTGCCCTTGCCCATTTGGGAGTTCTCAACTCCCTTACCTGACGAAGACCTGCTCATTAGCCCTCTCAATTTTCATCTTCCTTTGCCCGGCGAGCCGCTGCCAGGACTTCTCCTTCTTCAGCGAAACCTCTCTCCTCAATCTTCACTAGCTCATATTGTCTCCCTAGAGTCCAATGAGCTCCTTTTGATAGAGCCACAATGCTCTTCAACCTCTTGAGGATGTCAACTCCTCCAGCCACACGCCCTTGGATGAAATCCAAGGCTTGGCATAGGGTGAGCGCTTCTTGCTGGAGAGAAGGTGACATGGAGGGGATCACCACCTGCCGCCCATATTGGGTGTAGAGTGGAGGCAATGATGAGCGATCCACATTCCACATAGTCCCAGCCGAAGTCACAAGACTCCTCTTTATCTCCTGAAGAGACCGGGCAGTTAAGGTACCAGGGTACCTTCTCCACACAGTTTGCAACTTCTGCTCCTCGTCGAACAGCCCGTCCTCAAGGGCCCCTTTGCTGCTACTGCTTGAACTGGAGCTCCTGGAAGAATCACTTTTGCTGCTGCTGCCTTTCGCCTTCTTCTTTTTCTTTTTTCCTTTGGCCAGCAAGCTTCTGGCCTTCTTCATAAGTCGGCCCCTTCTCTTGGGGTTTGGATCCATGCCCGTGTCCTTGTATACTGCTTCAAGACTTTTCTGGCCAAAGTCCAATTCGTCTCTTTCACTCTTGGGGGATTTACTTCTTCTCCCCTCCTCTTTCTCTTCCTTCTTCTTGCGCTTTTTCTCTTGCTGCTTTTCTCGCCGGTCTGTCTCCTCCTTTGCACCCTCCATCCTGCGCTGCTCCAGGCGCAGCTTAGCCATCTCATCCTCCTCATGTGCCTCCTGGACTCCTCTCCAACCTTCTTCAAGTTGGTGAGCCACGGCACCCTGTCGGCAGCTACCTCTTCGAAGTCATGGGCATGGACCAGGGTCTCATTCGTCACCAGGGCTTTGCAATCTGCGCTGCATAGATGAACTGCAATCCTCTTATCTTCTCGGCCTGTCAACACCCTCAGCAACTCCTCATTTTTGGTCCCACTGGCCGCCAAGTCGAGGTGGATCTCGTTCTCCTCACTTCTAAATCCCACGACCCTGCCAGCTACTGCCGCAGTCTTTCCATAGTATATGGCTTCTTCAATGCAAATGGTCCCCAATCGAAGAAGATCTCTGGGGTTCACCTCTGATTTTTTTTTTCTTTTTTGGGGCGCCCTCTTCTTGAGTCCTCTGATCCTCTACGGCTGCAGCAGGTCTCCTCAACCTTGGTGCCGCCGCCGCTGGCCTGTGAAGCACACCTCGTCCTTTCTTGGGAGCCATGCTGCTCCCTTGCTATCGCCGGCGTCTGCGATCGTGAAGCTCTTGTTTGGCTCTCTTCACCTGTCCTTTGTTCGCACTCTCCGTCCACCTTGGATGAGAGCTGTAGGGCACCTCGCCCCGCCAACCCAACCCCTGCCTCACGGGGGGGGATAACGAGGTTCACGTGGTCCCCACGCCAGGATCGGCCCCACGTGCGAGTCGCTCCTTCGGCTCCTCTTTGATTCTCTCCTCTTCCTGTCGCGGCTTCTGGATCTGGGAGATGCTCTCTCTCCCCTAGTGCGGCTCCTCTTCTTTTCCTTTGGCCTTTTCGAGCTGCTGGCAGGCGCGGTCCTTGGTGGGCAGTTCCTCGGACTTAGGCTTAACAAGGCAGGTCTCACCTTCGGAAGGCTCTTTCTTCTCGGCGGGGGTGGCTTTTTCTAACGTAGCAGGTGGCTGAGGTGGCGCGGTCTTGGCTGTGAGGTTGAGCTCCGGCTCCTTGGTCTTCTCCTCCTCTTTTAGCTGGGAGGTTACAGTCCCCTCTCGTGTGGTGGGCCCAGCCGGTGGCGCGGCTGCCCCCACTGTCGGTCCTCCTTGACCCAACCTCTGTAGCTCGTCTCTGAGCTCTGCCTCCAGGAGCCGAAGCTTCACGCAGGCAAAGTTGAAGAACCCTGGATGTGCGCCCCCGGCGGGCCCCCGGCTTCAAACAATGTCACCCGGGATGCGCAACTGCAAAAAGGGCAGCTACACACGGGCCCGTGCCCTAGCATACTACCCTGAAGCCAGAGCTACCAAGTAACATATGGGGTTTTCATGTTTATATCCGTGAGCGTAGATAGATAGATAGATAGATAGATAGATAGATAGATAGATAGATAGATAGATAGATAGATAGATAGATAGATAGATAGATAGATAGATAGATAGAGAGATAGATAGATAGATCGATAGAGAGATAGATCGATAGATAGATAGATAGATCGATAGATAGATAGATAGATAGATAGAGAGATAGATAGAGAGATAGATAGAGAGATAGATAGAGAGATAGATAGAGAGATAGATAGATAGATCGATCGATAGATAGATCGATAGATAGATCGATAGATAGATCGATAGATAGATACATAGATAGATAGATAGATAGATAGATAGATAGATAGTGGACATGACCGCGGGATTGCACAGGTAAGCAAGAAATAGAGCAGGCAGATAGAGCATCCATAAATGCAGCCTCAGAATAGTCCACAGCGTCTTCAAAGGAGAAACATTACTCTAGAATCTGGAGAAGCATCAGCAGCATCGTAACAGTGACATGTTCTGGTGAAACATATTCCAAGGCCTCTCGCATGGCAAACCATAAGCAAGCCACCTCAAATGCGGCGAAAATCTCTTGTCCGTAGAAGTTTGGAGCCAAGAATCTCACTTTGTTTAATAGTGGAGGTCCAGAATCATCTAAGATGCCGAGAAGTGGGCCCTAATTGCAATCAAGCAACGTTGATAGCAATGATAGGAATGTCCAACTCTTTCTCCAGCCTCTCTGCCAGCGGCACCTTTGCTCTCAAGTCATACTTCTCCAAGGTTCCGTTGCATTTCTTTGAAAGGTGAAACGTTGTGAAACATTTGTGCGAACGCTTTGCACCAAGTGAGGCAAGCTGCCATGGACAGATTGGTACCGCACTGGACAATGGCATCCTTGGCCGAGGGCAGGCAGAATATCTCCCAAGGCTCAAAATCCAGTGACAGGCAGTGCCTCTGCCGAGGAAGCGCCGTGCAAACAAAGGTCGCGGTTGTATTCGGAAAGTGGCAAGTTGTAGTCGAAAACTGAGAGTTGTATTCGGAAACTTGTGCTCGAAATATGTGAGGTGCATACGGGTTTGGAAAGTTGTATTCGGAAACTGGCGGGTTGTATGCGGCAAGTGGTACTCGCAAACTAGATACCGTGGATTCGGAAACCGGGAGCAGACATGGCCACAAAGCTGAAACCCATTTTTCCCCGACCGCTTCTCAGCTCAAAAAATGGCCCCATGTCAGCAACAGCAGCTTGAAGATAAGCTGAAGTTAATATCCCGCTCAATCCATTGGTCAGCTGGCGTGGTGGATTGATCCCTCATGAATATGTCGAAGTTAATATCTCATTCAATATATTGTTTGGAGGGAGTGGTGGATTTGATCCGTTATGAGGACAGGTTGAAGGCATTATCATGTAATATCCCTTTCAATACCAGTAGTACCGCACAAGGCGGTGGCGGAAGTTTCAAAAATAGGAAACCTATAGGAGAGGTTGGTTGTTGTGAATCAGGGATGGCAGAGCGAAGCCACTGATGGACCGAAAGGTGATTGATGTCTCCTCTCTTTCTCTCTCTTTCTCTGACTATCTACCTACTTACCTACCTACCTATCTATCTACATATGTATCTATCGATCTATCTATCTATCTACCTATCTTTCTATCTATCTATCTGTCTGTCTATCTATCTATCTAACTATCTATCTATCTATCTCTCTCTCTCTCTCTTTCATCTGTCTAGCTGTCTACCTGTCTATCTGTCTATCTATCTATCTATCTGTCTGTCTATCTATCTCTCTCTCTCTCTCTCGCTTTCATCTGTCTATCTGTCTAGCTGTCTACCTGTCTATCTGTCTATGTTTCTATCTATATATCTGTCTACCTGTCTATCTGTGGTGCAGTGTCATTCAGTGTAATGTAGCGTAGTGTAGTGTAATGTAGTGTAGTGTAGTGTAATTTAGTGTAGTGGAGTGTAGTTGTGTAGTTGTGGTTGTAGTGCTGCGGAGTGTAGTGTAGTGTAATGTAGTGTAGTGGAGTGTAGTGTAGTGTAATGCAGTGTAGTGTAGTGTACTTTAGTGTAGAGGAGCGTAGTGGAGTGTAGTTGCGTAGTTGTAGTTGTAGTTGTAGTGTCGTGGAGTGTAGTGTAATGTAATGTTGTGAAGTGTAGTGGAAGGTAGTGCAGTGTAGTGTAGTGTAATGTAGTGTAGTGTACTGTAGTGCAGTGTAGTGTAGTGTAATTTGGTGTAGTGGAGCGTAGTGGAGTGTAGTGTAGTGTAGTGTAACGTAGTGTATTGTAGTGAAGCGAAGCGAAGCGACATCTGAACCTCCAAAAGCGGTCCGAACCCCTGGTGTTTTTAACATTTTGACTTCGAAATGTGCTTCGCGCCACAACGGCGTGCACTTTTTCGACATCTGAACCTCCAAAAGTGGTCCGAACCCCTGGTGTTTTTAACATTTTGACTTCGAAATGTGCTTCGCGCCACAACGGCGTGCACTTTTTCGACATCTGAACTTCCAAAAGTGGTCCGTGAATGGTGTGTTTTGTACATTTTGACTTCGAAATGTGCTTCGCACCACAACGGCGTGCACTTTTTCAACATCTCAACTGCCAAAAGTGGTCCGAACCTGGTGTGTTTTGTGCATTTTGACTTGGAAATGTGCTTCGCGCCACAACGGCGTGCGCTTTTTCAACATCTCAACTGCCAAAAGTGGTCCGAACCTGGTGTGTTTTGCGCATTTTGACTTGGAAATGTGCTTCGCGCCACAACGGCGTGCAATTTTTCATCTCTCATCTGGCCAGCTGGCTCCGCACCCGCCGCTTTAGCGAGCCTACTTTTCGACCCTCCGGAGCCACAAATCATTGGAAAAAACACAGTGTTTCGCGACTTTCCTACCTTTTCGCGCATCTGCATCTTCTTTCTTCTTACTCTTTCTCTTCTACTCTTCTTTCTTCTAATCTTTCTCTTCTCTCTGCCTCTTCCCTGCTCTGCCTTTCATCTGTCCATATTGTCGGAAGTTTGACTTCTAAACTTCCTTCGATGATATATTGTTCGAACGGGGTAGCATATTTTAAGGGTGCTGATTTTCTAAAGGGCTTCGCTTTGTTTAGTCTGGGGCAGTTTTCCTTGCTATTTGCTGCATTTTGGAACTAAAATCTCTCATGTTGCATGCTATTTGCGGCATTTCGGAGCTAAAATCGCAAATTTGGGGAGCTAAAACCCTATATAAATTGTGCATAATTTTGCACAGTATTTGCAACATTTTAGCTTTCACCAATTTCTCCCAATTTAGAGATTCTTTAGGGTTTCATTTAGGGTTCTTTAGGGTTTTATTCAGGATATCTTTAAGGTATCTTTAGGGTTTCTTGAGGGTTCCATTTAGGGTTTCTTTAGTGTTTCTTTTAAGGACTCTTTGGCGTTTCTTTTAGGGTTTCTTTTAAGGTTTCTTTTAGGGTTTCATTAGGGTTTCTTTTAGGGTTTCATTTAGGGTTTCGCTTGGGGTTTCTTTAGGGTGCCGTTTAGATTTTCTATGGTTTTCTTTATTTCTGAATACGACAGCGTAGTTTCTGAATACTGAATACGACAGAGGAGTTTCCGAATATGACGGAACAGTTTCTGAATACGACGCCTGTCGTTTCTGAATCCGACGTCTAGTTTCTGAATCGGACATCCAGTTTCTAAATACGACGAGTTGTTTCTGAAGACGTACTTTCTGAATACAGTGGAGTTTCTGAATTCGACTTTGATCCATCTGCATGAACATATCATCTTTTCCTCCAATCCCAGATGCATGCAAGGTTCGATTCCAGGAATGACTAGGTTCTCACGGATCACTTTCTCACACCAAGCTTCTGGCCTAGGAGCAACACAAAAAACAAAGGGTGGGCAGCCAGCTGCGTTTGTCAAGGGAAGTGCCTCCAACTAAGGAACCAAACAAACGAAACAGAAATCTTTGCAGAAACACCCTAAGTAGCTGGCACGTGAGCGATGTCGGTTGCCTGAAGCTGAAAGTCCGTTAGCATTGAAAGGTCCTCTAAGCTCAAGTGTATGGCAATCTTTGAGTTCTCTGGAAATAAGTGTGTATGTAGTATGTACCTTCTTAATGTTCTAAGATTCTTAGGCGCGTTGCAGCTTGGCAAGAACCAAGCTGAATTTTTTTGTGGCCCCGCCGGGCACAAATGCAGTAAAGGGGCAGAACCACACTTCAGACCTGCTATTCGCACAACTTCAAATCCAATCTCCGAGAAGAATTTCACGACATTGCGATCTCCTCAAGAAACGATGCCGGAAGAAAGTTAAGAAATCATATTTTCAACCATCCCCAACAAGTCAATTGTAATTGTAGCCTGTCTTGTAAAGACCATTCATCTTTGTTCGACCAACAGTTGCTTTGGAGCTTTGGAGTGTGTGCTTTCAGTCATTTGCTCCGCTTGATACCTGGCCTATTTCTTGGTATGGCGTCAGAACCTGCAGCAAGAAGAATCAAAAACGGAGCACCTGCGACATCTTGAGGTCCAATGCACTGGCCAAATGCAAAATGCGAAATGGTGCAGCACCTCTACCAGCACAAAATGCAAAATGGTCTTAGCACTGTATTGCTACAGTAAACTTTACCACGGGACCCCCTAAAAATCTCAGCCGGCGGCTGTGATGCGTTTGGCACCAAACTTGCTCAGCGACGCCTCGACAAGAGCGCTTCCGCAAAATTCTCTCGTGAACGTCAAGTTGTTCTGCCATGTTGAGACTAGAAGTATGTTTTTTCTAAGCAGAATGGTGCTGCATGATTTGTTTCCAATAGATGTTTCAGTTCCAACACCCTTGTCCTGTCATCATGCAACATATTGGCCTTTGTGGCTTGGCAGATCTTTTACGGTATGCATATACATATGTATGTATATTTGCATATAATTCTTAGATACTTATGAACATATTGCAACGCTGGGCTGGCCTTGCAGGCTTCAGCGCCAGTTGCAACGTTCAACCCAGTTCGCTGGGAGAGCTCGCCCTTGAGTTCCTCGTCGGGAGCAGGGCCAACAAAGCCTAGAAATTTACCCAAAGGCAAGTGCGGTCATACACACTTCTATTCCATCTGTCTGTCAGTTTATCTACGAATATCTTCAAATATCTACATAATGATCGATCTAACTATTTTCTTACCTATCCATCTTTCTTTAACACTACCCAGTAAGTACCTGTCTGGCTACACTTGTACCCTTTGTTTCTTTGGTTACTATCCTGTTCCTACCCATCACGCAACTGCAGGACAGCTGCATGCATACACAGAGAGAGAGAGAGAGGGACAGATGGAGACAAAGCTAGGAACTGTGAAAAGAACAACCGCTGCTTGATATCGCAGGACTTGTTTAATGAAATACTGCGCCTGCACAGCCAGTCCATGTCCATGTCCCATTCTCTGGATTATCTGACGGTTCTCATTTTCAATCAGTGAGTTGTAAAATCTGAGTCCTGCCTTGTTACCTTCCCATCCGCCGAAAAAGGTCTCTAAGGACATACCTCGCCATCAGCTCCGCTTCGGCGACTGTAATTATTGGGAAACCAGTTCAGCGCTTGTCCTGACCAACATTATTGCCATTTCTCTTCTCCAAACTGGCCAACTGCAATGTTACCAATTCGCAGTGATACACTGATAATATTATATATGATATGGATGTAAATTCCACGCCCGACAACCAATCTTTTGCCCTATGAGGCTAGATTCGCGGCGTTGACAAATCCCGCCGAAGCAAAACTGAACTTCCAGTCGCAGCAGATTTCCAAAAGAACAGCTTGATTTTCCTTTCCTTTGCCGTGATGCCCATTATGATATACTGTGGCTCTGCAGTCATCAGGCGGTCTACTGTTGTGAAGAGCTGCTTCCGGAACCTCGCAACTCTTCCAGAACAACATGCTGTGAAAAACGAAGTATGGTTTTTACTGGAGACTGGTTGAAAATCATGTCCCTCTTGTTTCCATGTATTTCTCCCAAAGCCTCCATGTTTATATTTGATTTTTAATTGGAGAGCTTTGAAACCAAATAAAAGTGAAACCGAATAAATAAAGGAAACTGTACATCTCGTCTGTCTGTCATGGTCTGTCATGGTCTGTCATGAATACAATACTGTGTGCTGATGTCATTGCGCTAGAATTACCTTCAGAACAAAAGAACACATATTCCAAAATATGCCAAGCCAGTCAAAACCACTTACATACCTTACATGAACAGCTGCTACTTTCACTTTCTTCACCATGTTACTTATGTTACTTCGAATAGCTTTTGATGCTGTATGAATTATTTTGAACCAAGTTGCATTGTCAGGAAATTCAACATGTCTTCGTCTGTTGCCAACTTTGGGCTGTCGATGAGGATGCCGGAGGTGTGAAAACCAATCCCCTGGGACAAGAAACTCAGGCAAGGTGAAGCAAGGTGAAGCAACAGCCAACATGATCAACATGCAGGACTGATCAGGAAAAGCAGCCGAAGGCTCTTCATGGCACTCCCACCTTGCAAACTTCTCGGTTGGACATAACCATGTTCCAAAAGTCGTACTCCACAGTGGTATTAGTTGATGGTATGATCACCTTGGGAACTGAGGGCAGCGCACTTTCAAATTACTGGGTCACATGCTGGCAAGAGTAGCGTTCATCTGCCTGAGTTTTTACCAGGCCTATCAGAATCAATGCCTCACAGTCTCTCAGTAGTGGGAGCTTGTGCAAAGGATGAAAAGCTGTTTGCCATTGATACAGCACTTTTTATAATTTGGGCTAACTTTGGATTCGCGTCGAATCACCCCCTGTTTTAAACAAACGGAAAAACAAAAGCCCTTCGGTCTTGTGTAAGGCGCTTTCTACGACGAGACTGTTGGCTTGCTTTACGAAGTATCTGGGATCGCACTTTTCCTTTCAACATCAACTTGCAACAAACCGGCGTGGTAAATAAGACACATTTTTCACTGACAGAACAAACAACTCCAAACTTCATCTATAATTTCTATAAACCCGGCGGGGTGACAAGATACGCTAGTGGTTGTGCATTATTTGAATTAAAATATGCTTGGCGCCGCACCGCCATAGTCATTTCATGATAAAATTTCAGCTTGAGAATCCCGAAATTTTGAATACCCTTGTAACCTTCCATTGGTTTTTGCAGGGCAGAACCTCTTCAACGCGCGGCGTGTTTCTTCGCTCATTTTTAGGATACCAGGTATTTTAGAAAGTGCAAGAGAAGATCTCACAACGTAGCATTCAGGAGGTTAGAGTGCAGGAGAAGATCTCACAACGTAGCATTCAGGAGGTTAAAAAATTGCACAAGAAGATCTCGCAGCGTAGCATCCCCCATGCAAGCAGAGTAACATGAACGTCACTATACGTTACTGGCCCCACCCCGCCCCACCCCATGTTACAGGATGTAGTCACATAGAAGAGCAGATCCCACAACGTAGAGTCAATGAACGTAAGAAAGACAAGGGCCGATGACACAACCTTACCGAAGACATGTTTGCAAGTGCAAGAGAAGATCTCACACCCTAGCATTCCCATGCATTCTCCATGTGTGCAAAGACACGTGAACATACGTACGTGTGCAGAGCAAGAGGAACGTTATTGGCCCCACCCCACCCAATGTTTTTAAAATGTACACGACTACACGCGCGGTTTTCACCACGCTAGCGTAAATAAGACATATTTTTCACTGACAGAACAAGCAACTCCAAACTTCATCTTGAACTCGTTCTGGTCCGGGAAGCCGTTGCCGATCTCAAAGCTGTCGACAGACTTGGGCAAAACTTGGCCATCCTTCAACAAGATGATGCAAGCAGCAGTGCGTATCAAACATATGTATAGTTACCCCCGCTGTGAAATTCAGTGCTGCAGTGTTGCAGTTTTTGCTGTGCTAAATGCCAAAACTACCAAAGCTCAACTACCTGCTATTTTAGGCTACATGAAGACCCTTTCCTTTCTTTGGCTCTCTGCAATCTCTTGCCTTTTCACTTGTCTGAATGGGGGGCCACAGGTTCATGGTTCTCTTGTTGCTGTCACGCTATGAATCCATGCAACTGAGCATCCCGAGTTAAAGCAACAGAATGCAACCCGCAGAAGAAAGCAGAAGGGCAACAGGTCCGTCCTCCCATTCCGTAGGGTAGACACTTTTTGGATAGCCAGAGTCCACATCTGGAATTCGCACCACCTCTCCAGTGAGTTGGCCTTGGTGGCTTCTCCATCGATTCCTGGGACAGGCACTCCACTGAATCTGTGTGGAAACAAAAGCAATAAGGCCAACAGAATCCAAATACGTGCAATGCAAATACTTATCCACGGATGTATAGATATACAACTATAGGTATATAGGTAAATAGATACACACGCATACAACTATCTAAGTATAATACATGCATCATATCCACCAATATCTTCATATCAATATCTATCTTTTTGATGAACATGTTGATTTTATCTTTGTAGTTGATGAAGGGAAAATAGACCCTCAAAGGAACCCAATCAGCCAATCTGCCCAGTGTCGGAGCAATGACTCCATTGGTGTACTCTTTTTCCTTGCTTGTGAAGTCGGCACAAATGGCAGTGCCAGTATCAGACTTCGGTGTGAAATCTCGCTGCCCTTTCTTGAAGTCAGTTACGCCATCAACGGGTTTTTGCTCGTTGGTTTCCTGTCTCAAACGCTTGCTTGCGCGCTCTTCCCCACCATCCATGGCAGAGGGGTCCAAAGCTGCTTGGTGCTGTCTACATAGGTAAATCGCGGATATCTTAACATGCTGGGAAATCATTTGCAATGCATACAATGACATAAAAAAGACAAACGTAAAATGACAGGTTAAATTTTGACAGTTTTTTTTGAGCTGTTGATTTTTGGTGTGTGAAAGTTTGAAGCCAGGGACGGCTCAAAGCTCACATCTGGCATCTCTCCACTTCACTGTAGGGCTGAAACGCAGATGTTGATAGCACCACAATGAACCACATATTGTCGTAAGGCCATCTGACCTTCCAGTCGAGCTGCACACTGTTGTTTTTATCCTGCATCACGCGCGGCAGCCGCCAAGGCCGCCAAGGACCCTTTTGGTCTCGACCTCAAAGATTACAGTATCCAAAGTGACTTGGCTGACAGACTCCAATAACGAATGACCCGCCAACTGCACAGTTTTTCACAGTCAGGATCTACTCCAAATGACCACCCCATGAGTTTTGCTCAGGCATTCTAAGACAACTTCACCTGGTACCTTCTGGTTTTCCTGTTCCGGTTCTGCCAATTGGCTCCAGTGTTATGTTCCATTGTCAATGGAATCCAGCATCGCTCTACCACTGGCTGCAATTTCCAGACATTTAGGTTTGCAAATCTCTCTCTCTCTCTATAAATATATACGTATATATATACACATATATATTAACGAATACATACATACATGCATGCATGCATATCATTACAGTACATACCATTAAATACCATTACATACCATTACATACCGTTACGTTACGTTACGCTACATTGCATTACATACCATTACATACCATTACATACCACTACATACCATTACATACCGTTACATTACAAACCGTTACATTACATTACATTATTTCACTTTACTTTACATTACATACCATTAAATACCATTACATACCATTACATACCATTACAAACCAATACATACCATTACAGTACATACCATTACATACCATTAAATGCCATTGCATACCGTTACAAACCAATACATACCATTACAGCCATTACATACCATTACATACCATTACATACCATTACATACCATTACATACCATTACATACCAGTACATAACACTACATACCATTACATACCATTACATACCATTACATGCCATTACATACCATTACAAACCGTTACATACCATTACACACCATTACATACCATTACATACCATTACGTACCATTACAAACCATTACATGCCATTACATACCAGTAGTACCGCACAAGGCGGTGGCGGAAGTTTCAAAAATAGGAAACCTATAGGAGAGATTGGTTGTTGTGAACCAGGAATGGCAGAGCGAATCCACTGATGGACCGAAAGGTGCTTGAGGTCTCCTCTCTTTCTCTCTCTTTCTCTGACTATCTACCCGCCTACCAACCTATCTTCTATGTATCTATCTATCTATCTATCTATCGATCTCTCTCTCTCTCTCTTTCATCTAATGACCTATCTATCTATCTATCTATCCATCCATCCATCCATCCATCCATCCATCTCTCCATCTATCAATCTATCTATCTAACTACCTGTCTATGTATTGATCCATCTATTTATCTATTTATCTACCTATCTTGGTATCTATCTATTTATCGATTTATCTATCTATCTATCTATCTATGTATCTATCTATCTATCTATCTGTCTAGCCACCTATCTATATCTATCTATCTATCTCTCCGAATATCTATCGATCAAACTGTCGCTCTATCTATCTGTCTATCTATCTATCTATCTGTCTGTCTATCTATCTACCTATCAATCTCTCTATCAATCTCTCTAGCAATCTCTCTATCAATCTCTTTATCAATCTCTCTATCAATCTCTCTATCAATCTCTCTATCAATCTCTCTATCAATCTCTCTATCAATCTCCATCAATCTATCTATCTATCCATCTATCCATCTATCCATCTATCCATCTATCCATCTTTCCATCTATCCATCTATCCACCTATCCATCTATCCATCTATCCATCTATCCATCTATCCATCTATCCATCTATCCATCTATCCACCTATCCATCTATCCATCTATCTACCTATCTACCTATCTATCTATCCATCTATCTATCTATCTACCTATCTATCTATCCATCTATCTATCTCTCCATGTATCAATCTTTCTATCTAACCATCTGGGCCTCACCTGAGCACGCTTTTTTTGGCTCACGTGCGCACGCGCAAACAGGCCTCACCTGAGCACGCGTTTTTAGCCTCACGCGCGCACGCGCAAGAGTTTGTGGGGTGGGGTGGGGTGGGGTAATAACGTTCATCTTCGCTTGCAAACACACGCACTGAGCTGGGGTCGGGCTTTGGTTGGGTGGGGTGGGGTGGGGTAATAACGTGCATCTTCGCTTGCAAACACACGCACTGAGCTGGGGTCGGGCTTTGGTTGGGTGGGGTGGGGTGGGGTAATAACGTGCATCTTCGCTTGCAAACACACGCACTGAGCTGGGGTCGGGCTTTGGTTGGGTGGGTCAAAATCCAGACAATATTTACAGATGAAAAGCACAGATGGGGGAAGTCAGAGAAGAAAGTCAGACAAGAAAGTCAAAGAATAAAAGAGAAGAAAAAAGAAGATCAATGAAGAGAAACGCAGAAGAAAGAAGATGTAAATGCGCGCAAAGGTATTAAAGTCGCAAAACAATGTGATTTTCCAATGATTTGTGCATCCAGAGGATCGACAAGTCGGCTCATGGGCGCAAGATTGTGGCGCGAACACATCGAGTCAACACCAGTGCCGGAACACTTGTGGAAGTTGAGCGGACAAAAAAAGTGAACACCTCTGTGGCGGGAAACGCTGTTGCAAGTCATGTTTTAAAAAAATCGACCCACTAGTGAACATTCACATGTCGAAAAAAATGCACGCTGCTTTTTTCCGGGAAGCACATGTCGAAGTTTACATGTTAAAAACACCACGCGTTCGGACCACTTTTGGACGCTCTGCAATCGTTTTGTGTGGCAGACAGATAGAAACAGAAGCAAGCAAGCCAAACGCAGAACTACTTGAAAGGTCCACTTTGGAAGATTGAAACCGGTAAGCACCCAAAAGTAGAGCTGGGGAGGTCCATTTCGAAGGATTCGGGCCGCTCAGTAAGCAAAACAAGGAACCAGACGGAGAACAACGGAGCACAGCCAAGCAGACAAAGAGCCCCATTGGGCGGAGCACAGCCAGAGTGAAGAGGTCCGTGTTGAACGAGGAGGGCATCAGAGAGAGAGAACCATACACAGAGAGAACGATGCACAGGCAATCGAATGCGGAGCAGAACAGCTGGGGAAGGCCAAAGCATGCACACACAAGCCGAGAGCATGCGCAGACGAGCCTGATTTGTTACATCTGAAGCTCCCAGACAGGCGACAACATGCGCAGGCGAGCCTCAAAAAGGACCCGGGACAATGCAGGTAGGTAGACGCCGAGACGTCATTTTCGTTGACCTGCGCGAGAAAAAATAGGCGTGCAAGTAGTGCGCGTGCGCACGCGAGACCAGCATGCACGTGCGCACGCGAGACCGACATGCGCGTGCGCACGCGAGGCCGTGACCTATCTATCTATCTATCGATCGATCTATCTATCTGTCTGTCTGTCTTTCTGTCTGTCTGTCTGTCTGTCTCTCTATCTATCTGTCTACCTGTCTACCTGTCTATCTATCTACTTATCTACCTATCTACCTATCTATCTATCGATCGATCTATCTAATCTAATCTAATCTAAATCTAATCCTATCTATCTATCTATCTATCTATCTAATTAATTATCTATCTATCTATCTCTCTCTCTCTCTGTCTTTCGGTCTGTCTGTCTGTCTGTCTCTCTGTCTCTGTCTGTCTGTCTGTCTATCTACCTGTCTATCTGCAAGCGTGAAAACCAAGCTATTCTACGAGAAGTTTTCATTTTCAAAGTTGACAATATCAAAAACGAAGCAATTCTGCGAGACTTCCCCAATGTTTGAACTTAACAACCTCAAAAACGAAGCAATTCTGCGAGACTTTTTCATTTTTCAAAGTTGACAACATAGAAAACGCAGCAATTCAGCGAGACTTCCTCAATTTTTGCATTTGACAACATCAAAATCAAAGCAATTCTGCGAGACTTCCTTCAAAAATGGAAAGTTGAGTGCAGCGCTGACCGCCTCGTGCCAATGCGTTTTGCGATTTTTCCACTCCACCGGTCTAAAGTACTGCGCCTGCCACGAAAAATTGATGCCAGGTCATGCGAAGTGCTGCACCTGTCACGCAAAATCATCTTAGCAAACCTACAGATCTGATGCTCCAAAATGCAACCCCTCTCAGGAAATCAGCGCCCTGACCTCCTAACATCTCTCATGAACATGTCTTTTGTACTGCGCCTACCATGGAAAATGCATCTTTGCAGATCCTCTTCAAATGTCCCACGCCTGCCATCGTTTTTGGAAATGCGACGAAACCCTCACGTTTTGCTCACTTTTGACAAGGTACACAATCCCTTGCGCCTGCCACGGCGAAACGAGCTCTGAATGTCCAAAAGTGTTCCGAACGTGGTGTGTTTTGTACATTTTGACTTGGAAATGTGCTTCGCGCCACAACGGCGTGCACTTTTTCGACATCTCAACTTCCAGAAGTGGTCCGAGAATGGTGTCTTTTGTACATTTTCACTTGGAAATGTACTTCGCGCCACAACGGCGTACACTTTTTCGACATCTCAACTGCCAAAAGTGGTCCACACCTGGTGTGTTTTGTACATTTTGACTTGCAAATGTGCTTCGCGCCACAACGGCGTGCACTTTTTCGACATCTCAACTTCTAAAAGCGCTCCGCAACCCAGGTGTTTTGTACATTTTGACTTGCATGCAATTTTTCATCTCTCATCTGGCCAGCTGGCTCCGCACCCGCCGCTTTAGCGAGCCTACTTTTCGACCCTCCGGAGCCCCAAATCATTGGAGAAACACAGTGTTTCTTCTCGCATCTGCATCTTCTTTCTTCTTACTCTTTCTCTTCTACTCTTCTTTCTTCTAATCTTTCTCTTCTCTCTGCCTCTTCCCTTCTCTGCTTTTCATCTGTCCATATTCCATATTGTCGGAAGTTTGACTTCTAAACTTTCCTCGACCATTACACACCATTACGCACCATTACATACCATTACATACCACTACATACCATTACATACCTTTACACACCATTACATACCATTACATACCATTACATACCATTACATACCACTACATACCACTACATACCACTACATACCATTACATACCATTACATACCATTACATACCATTAAATACCATTACATACCAGTAGTTCTGCACAAGGCGGTGGCGGAAGTTTCAAAAATAGGAAACCTATAGGAAAGGTTGGTTGTTGTGAATCACGGATGGCAGAGCGAAGCCACTGATGGACCGAAAGGTGGTTGAGGTCTCCTCTCTTTCTCTCTCTTTCTCTGACGATCTACCTACCTACCTACTGATCTATCTATGTAGCTATCTATCTATCGATCTATCTATCTTTCGATCTATCTATCTCTTTCTCTCTCTCATCTCATTATATCTATCTATCTATCTATCTACCTCTCTATCTATCTATCTATCTATCTATCTATATATATATATACAATATATATGTATATCTCTCTCTCTCTCATCTAATGACCTATCACCTATCTATCTAGCAATCCATCTATATATCTGTCTGTCTGTCTGTCTGTCTATCTATCTATCTGCAAGCTTGAAAACGAAGCTATTCTGCGAGACTTCCTCAGATTTTGAACTTGACAACGTCAAAAACGCAGCAATTCAGCGAGACTTCCTCAATTTTTGCACGTGACAACATCAAAACGAAACAATTCTGCGAGACTTCCTTCAAAAATGGAAAGTTTAGTGCAGAGCTGACGGCCTCGTGCCAATGCATTTTGCGATTTTTCCACTCCACCTGTCTAAAGTACTGCGCCTGCCACGAAAAAGTGATGCCAGGTCATACGAAGTGCTGCACCTTGATGCTCCAAAATGCAACCCCCTCTCAGGAAATCAGCGCCCGGACCTCCTAACAGCTCTGGTGAACATGTCTCTTGTACCGCGCCTGCCACGGAAAATGCATCTCTGCAGAGCCATCGTTTTTGGAATGCTACAAAACCCTCTCGTTTTGCTCACTCTTGGCAAGGTCCACAATCCCTTGCGCGTGCCATGTGAAACGATATCTGAACGTCCAAGAGTGGTCCGAACCCCGGGTGTTTTTAGCATTTTGACTTCGAAATGCGCTTCGCGCCACAACGGCGTGCACTTTTTCGACATCGCAACTTCCAAAAGTGGTCCGGCCGAAGAAGGTTCCGGATAAGGTTTGGGAGGCTTTGGTGCAGAGCCAGGTCAGGGTCAACAGGGTTCCGGAGAAGGTTCCGAAGAAGGTTCCGGATAAGGTTTGGGAGGCTGTGGTGCAGAGCCAGGTCAGGTTCAACAGGGTTCCGGAGAAGGTTCGGGAGAAGGTTCCGGTGCGGGAGGCTTTGGTGCAAAGCCAGGTCAGGTTCAACAGGGTTCCGAACAAGGTTCCGGAGAAGGTCTGGGAGGCTTTGGTGCAGAGCCAGGTCAGGCTGAACAGGTTTCCGGAGAAGGTCCGGGAGGCTTTAGTGCAGAGCCAGGTCAAGTTCAACAGGGTTCCGGAGAAGGTCTGGGAGGCTTTGGTGCAGAGCCAGGTCAGGTTCTGGAGAAGGTTCCGGAGAAGGTTCCAGAGAAGGTGTGGGAGGCTTTGGTGCAGAGCGAGGTCAGGTTCAACAGGGTTTGCGGCCATTCAATTGACGGAAACCCAGCTGAGGTGTTTCCAGCGCTTGGCTTCGCAGCACGCTTCTGAAAGATTTGTATAGAAATAGAACATTGCGGCTGTTGGGGATACCACCGAAGCTTTTTTCTTCTGCTCTTCTGTTCTCTATTCTTCTGCTCCACCTCTGCTTTTCATCTGGCCATATTGTCGGAAGTTTGACTTCTAAACTTCCTTCGGCCATTACATACCATTACATACCATTACATACCATTACATACCATTACATACAATCACATACCATTAAATACCATTACATACCATTACATACCATTACATACCATTACATACCATTACATACCATTACATACCATTACATACCATTGCATACCATTACAGACCATTACATACCATTACATACCATTACATACCATTACATACCATTACATACCACTACATACCATTACATAGCATTACATACCATTAAATACCATTACATACCATTACATACCATTACATACCATCACATACCATTACAGACCATTACATACCATTACAAACCATTACAAACCATTACAAACCATTACATACCATTACATACCATTACATACCATTACATACCATTACATACCACTACATACCACTACATACCATTACATACCACTACATACCACTATATACCATTAATTTCATACCATTACATACCATTACATACCATAGTCATACCATTACATACCATTACATACCACTAAATACCATTACATACCATTGCATACCATTACATACCACTACATACTATTACATTACTTCACATGTACATATTAGTTGCGCTCGACTTTCACCACTTCCACAGAAGCTGATTTCAAACACGCGAGCCACTTGTGCACCGGGGGCAACGCGGACATGATGTTATCATCAATATCCGCCGACCCCGGCTGACAGCAAGGGGGAGCGCGCCAGGGAATAAGAGCTTCCTGTTTCCAACTTCACCAAGCACCAGCAGCAGCAGCAGCAGCAGCTGCACCAGCAGCAGCACCAGCAAGCAAGACCAGCCAACAGGAGCAGCAAGCAAGGCCTCCTACTACTACTGCTGCTACTACTACTACTGCTGCTGCTGCTACTGCTACTACTACTTACCATAGATAATATAGTTTTGCATTCATTGGTGGCTGATGATCGAAAAACCCATCTATCGCAAGATCACCCGGACGTGATAAATGCACTCTCTCACTACATTGAAATAACCAGTTTTCCTATGTATCTTCCTTAAATGGCAAAAAGGGTCATTACCTGGAACGCTTAGGCTTTGTGATACCTTGTGCCGAAGAAACAAGGAACGCTTCAAGAATGCCCACAAAAAGTCCGAAAAGTTGGCGCTGGAGTCGTGCGTCACCGAAGCATCATAAGGACAATGTGCTCAAATATGATCAGATATGGCCATAGATGGTTATGAGTCATGAGGTAGCGTTGCTACAGTGAAACTTGTGAAACGTAGTATCGATTGATCATGATGCCATTATGTGTTTGTAAGAAACATATAAGCAACCTAGAAGAACTTTAAAATGATTAAAAAAAACAATTCACCCTGCGAAATGTCACTGTCCAACAGAGTAATTTCTGAGCAAATCTGAGAGCTGCGCTGCCGAGGTCCCGGCTCAGCCTGCCTGGCAAGCTTTCAAACCGATCACAGGTGGTGAAAGGGTGAAAGCGGCAGAGATGTTCAGGCTGCAAAACCCAACAAGTCAAATTTAGCATGAAATATCTGTGCACAAACATAGAGTGTCCCTTGAGTGTCCCTTTAAAAAAGTCTGGAAGATATTTTGTCAAAATTGGTCACCGTACCTTGCTGCAAGCTGCACTGCCTTGGTGACTTCTGCACATGGAAAACCCCACTCTGAACTGTCTGAACTTCGATTTGCAGCATCACTTGATATCACTTGTTCACGAAATCCAAAACTTCAAAAATCTTCAAACCATGGCATGTTCATACAAACATCTCGGCTTTTCACAGTAAAATGCAATGCCATCGGAAAACTTCAAACTTCAAGCCTCCTCTTCCTCTTTTTTTCTTCGTCTTTCTTCTACCACAGCTGCTATGGACCTCAGGCATCTATGATGATTGCATGTATATATATATATATATATCCCAGAAGAAGGGATTGTGAATCATTTGCAAAATGACCGAAGCCAAAGTTTCAGGCTTGTTGCTTGCTGCTCCACAGGTAAAGCAAGGAAGATCAAGGTTCTTTTCCAGCAGTTTTTGCCTATCAGGTTCCACACAGCATGAAAATCAGCTGTAAACTCCAAACAACTATAACATAATAGCGCATCCAGGAGCACCATTATTCTAGTGGATATGCAAGTTGTGATGTGTTTTGCTGGATGCCAAAAGACAATCCGAAACCTGGTGGGCTCCTGCAGGTAGGTACAGTGGGCCTGTGGAAACCATCAATGCAGTTGAAGTGAAAATGATGGTTGCCTCAAGCAGAGCGAATTTTCATGAAATTTCTCGCTTGATCCGCTCCTTTGCTCTAATTCAATGTAGCTTTCGGCTCTTTGCATCAGACAGGGCAAAGTCTTGACAAGTCTCATTGCCTGTGCAACGGTTGGTCGGGTTAGTACGACGTAAGGATCTACCAATCGCACACCATGGAACGATAGCAAGAATCCAACAGCAGCACATGCAAATTGGGCAAATACATCACGAAAAATCTCTGGCAAGGCAAACAGGCCTCCATTGTTTGCCCACAAATTTTGCACTCGCCGAGATGTACCTACTGCCAGCGTCACAACTCCCCTGATCGCAAGGGTACTTTGAGTACATCACGGATCCCGGAGAGCTGTGGAAAATAGATCAGGGGTGTTGTATAATTGTGCCGTAAGCCTTCGTTAAGATAAGATGTATCAAGATTTTCAAGCACATGTGCAGCACTGTGAGAGGAATAAAGCTTCAAACATGTTTGCGAAGATTATATATGCGTTGGCCATGCAAGGTGAGTCAGTTGTAACATGTGACCGGTGTCGAATACGAGATTATTCCAAAGGAGGCTTTGCAACCGTGCGCGGAAAAACACGCCACACTGGAACTGGAACCTTCTAAAAACGACTTGGACATGCTACAGTAGCCCAAAAGTATCCAACATATTCCAAAAGTGTGTTTCAAGAAGAAGACTTGGCGATGGTTTTGAAGGCGGCACCCACAAATAACCTTCAACACTTGAAGACTAGCAACAAAGCCAGAGCGTCAAACTTCCAAGAGAGGTCACGCCTTTCTTATTGGGTTGCAGCATGTTGCACACGCAAACCTGGTAGAGATTGCAGTCTGAACGTGAGTGAAGGAGCACTTGGGAAGCCTTGCTCTTGGAAAGCACATCCCTGGACTGGTCCTGTGCCCAGAATTGCCACTGCAAGCTAGCACGAAGCCGCCGTACTGGGAATTGGGAGACTTGATGTGGAACATACTGGGAACATGTGGATCATGTGGAACGAGCTGTGGACACTTGTGGTGTTTGGAGATCGCAGGCTGCTGTGCTCAATGGACAAAGCCTTCTGCACGGGCGCCTCGGCCTCGCCGGCCTTGCCAGACTCCCCTTCAGCCCTTTGAGACAGGAGCTGCTTGGCCTCAGGTGATCGCAGTGGGGCAGATTTCCTTATGAATTTCCTGGCGGAATTCCTCCTCGTATTTTGCTGCTTCTCTGCAAGATCTCCTACCCAGTCAGACCTCCAGCTTCATATCGAGCCATAGATCTGTGAAAGATGCATGCATCTCCGTAGACTAGCAAAGGTACATAAACCCAGAGCAAAATTAATCACCTCAGTGGACTGAAACATACCTTTGCGGCTCCTGACCACACAAAATCCTTTCCTATACTTGCAGCCCTGTCTCTCACATTGCTAGAAGTTCCATTCATTTTGCGCGCTGTTTTGCTGGGACTTCCATCTGCTGAGCTCATGGCAATCATCCAATCGGCCCTAGACTGGCCATCGGCATGGCTACGAGTACTAGAGTCTTACTAGAATGATTCATCATTATGCCAATAGCACTTCTGTGAGGGTATGCCTCACCACCTAAATTTTCCCAACGTTGCTGTGGCTGGGACTAATCCAGAACGGGCCGCAATTGTTGTCAAGGATCCTGCCTGCATGGTTTTTACCTGCAATTTGCACAATTTTGGACCCTCCTGTCCATCGCATCTCCAAGCTTTCAAGCAAAACCCCGTGCAATTGGATGATCTTTCCCGTTGCTTCTGGAATCCACCGCGCTTCATTCCAATGGAGCCAATACCGTTCGCGCTACTGATGGTGGTGGTGGTGGTGGTGGTGCTGCTGCTGCTGCTGCTGGTGCTGGTGGTGTTGTTATTGTTGTTGTTGTTGTTGCTGCTCCTGCTGCTCGTGCTGCTGTTGTTGTTGCTGCTGCCAGTGATGCTGTGGGTGCTGGTGGTGCTGCTTGGACAGAACAGGATCCCTCTTCTTACACATTCAGCACGTGGTCAAAGAGGCGGTCTTTTGTTTGGCTCGGCTCTATGTGTGTCTATCTGTATGCATATGTATAATTATGTATATACATTCTCAATTCTGCAGCCCTTTCGGACCTGTAATGCTAGTGTATGCTCTGCAAGAGTCGCTATGAGTAAAACACTTTGATGCCCCGACGTCGAAGCAAGCACTGCAATCCCGATTCTGTATGCACATGTCCAATGTCTTAAACTGTGAGACGCTTTGGCCTTCTGCTTCTGTCTGGCAGTCCCTCATGGTTTCTGGGGTTGTGCTGCAATTCTTCGATGATCTTGCTCCGTCAGTAAAACTCTTCTTGCATCATCTGAGAACCTGAAACGTTTGCATTCTACTGTAGACCACTTGATTGGGAAACCATGTGCAACACCGTATGACACTGTGACATATGCTGCGGATACTGCAACAGTGGCAACACATGCACAACCATGAGAAGATTGAGCTCAATTGAGCTACTATATACAATCAGCAAGGCACACAGGGTATCCCATCCTTAGCGCAGCACCCACCCCTCCGAGCTCATACGACAACATGCAAATCCACTTCAATCCAGAAGCTGCAGCTTTAGAAATCAATGATTAATCAATGCTACCAAACAGAATCAGCGAAGAGGAACCGTGCATCCTTGTATGGAATGTCCAGGTCTGGCCGATCAACAGATTTTGTGAGCAGTCTCTGCAGTCTCTGCCTTTGTGCATTTTCCGAGCTGGCCACAAATCTCCACCGTCAGCAAAGCTTCGCCCTCCTCCTTGACTGTGTTCAAAATTCTTCAAAACAAGAACAGATCTTGACAGAGTGTGAGACCTTTCAACGACCAGTTTGCGGCAGCTTGTTGAGTACCAGACAGATGCTAAATTGAAGCCGCACAAATTTCTTGGAAAATTTGACTTTGTTCAATTATTCCTAGTCTTCATTTTGGCATCAATGATTGCAATAAGTTTCTTAGCTGCATCTCCTTGTAGAATTTGAGCGGGTTAACTTCATATTTCTCGCAAACTTGCAGGTAGAAATCCTTCTCCTTGCCCCTGTCAATCAAACAGCAGTAGGCAAGCCGGGGTGTCTACAATTCGGTTAAGTGCACTCGTGCCAAACAACAAAACATGAAAAGTAGTCCAAGCACCTGCAAAAAAATCTTAGCATACAGCTGCGACATATAGAAACACAGCCAGTTTAGAACAACGAATAATGACAAACACCTTCCATAGATGCAGATCAATCGAAGGGTACATTCTGGTGACTTCCGTTGATCTCGCATAGGCCCTAGGCGGTCTATCTTTTGGATTGGACCTTCCGACCTAGCTCTGCTTTAGCCGTCATTGGTGATATTGATCCGTCTGACTTAAAAAGAAAAAGCAAACAAATTATTAATGTATCTTCTTTCACTATTCATGTGTTACTGTATCTCTGTCGGGACTCTGAATCAACACATTTGACATTTTGAAGACCTCCAATGGACAGGCATAATAGATGCCGCGGGGGCCTGTATCTTTGGAGCAACTTTGCCATGTCGGCAAGCTTTGAAGGATTTCGCCTCAGAGTTTGCATCCCCTCGCAGCCTGCTTTACAACGCATACAGAAATCCAAAGCTACGAAAACAATTCCAATTCCTTCAAGCAACTACCAGAGCCATATGAGTGAGCCACTATCAGATCAATATCATAGTGATGCTGCATAACACTTTGTAATCTTGCCAGCCTTTAAGTCCCAGACATCCTTTGTTGATGAATAATTTTCCGCAGATCTTTATGTGGGAGAATGTAAAGACTCCAGTACTGTTGTACTATCATGCAATTCCTGAACCGCGCTTTTCTGGAGCCGGAGAAGGGGAATTTATCCTTCAGCATTGTGCTCGGCGAACGGTTCTAACTTCAAATCATCATTGCAAAGACATGACGACTGCATGTGCAACCAAGCTGCTTCTGGTAGACTGCTTGAACGAGAATGGCATACCTTGATGTCGTTTTAATGCATGCGATTTTTGATGGCGCTAGCATTCAACTCGAAGCCGGACAAGAATGACATGACATGATGTTCAAAATGATTGCAAGATCATTAATGTGAGATTCAAAGTACAACCATTGTTAGAGGTTTCAAGATTCACAAATTACATTAAATGACATCATGCCAATGACCTCGCAAATGTATGCAAATGTCACGACTCTATGTCTGAGGTCCTCGCTGCCTTGCATCCAACTCCGGAAGACCTGTCCTTAGTTCAACACCCTGTCGCCAGATGTCGCCAGATGTCGAATCGCAGCAAGTCGGTATCAGTTGGACAGTCGTAATTTAATTTGGTTCGTATTGATTCATATCTAATGCATTTTGACGTCAGAGCGTACTTCCCGCATCGGAACACTCGACCGGTAGAGTTTGTCAAGGGACTCTTCAGTTGAATTGACTTCGCCATTCTGAGTGACCTCAGCGAGTCCATGCACTAGGATCCTTACAGACCTGGATGCACATATTGTTCTCTCTCGCATGAGAAGGAAGAGTAAAAACAATCGGGCTCTTGTGATTGATTGGGTATTGCTGAGGTACGCAGTGCCCGTCTGCCTCTCTCTCTCTCTCTTTCTCTCTCTCTCTCTCTCTCTTTCCATGTATACACACATGGTATGTGTATACACGCATACCATGTCAACTTATTCTTGCCTTCATGCCGGTCTTCGCTGATTGCAGGGGTAAAGGTCCGCACCTGGCTGCCACCATTGCTGCTCAGAGCTCCTGTGGGGCGGCGTCTTTCACATTCACTGCGCGTTCACTGCGCATGCAAAATAATTCAGAATCTTCTAGTGTATGTATATGTGCAGTGAAACTGGCTGAGCATGGCCGAGCAATGTAATTTTGCCGCCCTGTAGTAGTTTGAATCGCCTCTTTTTCAAACTGGATACTCGACAATTGATGTTGACTGCTTGCGGCTCGCGCGCGAACGGCTTCACCTGCTTCTTTTCAACACGCTCTTAGTTGACAACATCATGTCCAAACCAGCTCCGCAAATGTTGACAGAAGCTGTGTCCTCTGACAAGGGACTCGAAGCTTGCCTGCTTAATGGATGAATGAGGAGCAGAAATGCAAAAACATGTCCCTTTTCTACCAGTCCATGCTTTACCTCAGTCACCTGAATTGAGCGGCAAGCGAGGACATTTTCACAAGTCCATGTCAGTGGTGATGATGGAAGGGTCAATTATACATCTTTGCAGTAATTACCGAAGGAAGTTTAGAAGCCAAACTTCCCGCAATATAGACAGGTGAAAAAGCAGAGGTGGGAAGAGCCAGAGAAGAGAAGAGAAGAGAAGAGAAGAGAAGCGAAGAGACGAGACGAGACGAGAAGAGAAGAGACGAGAAGAGAAGAGAAGAAAAGAGAAGAGAAGAGAAGAGAAGGGAAGAGAAGAGAAGGGAAGAGAGGAGAAGAGAGGAGAAGAGAGGAGAAGAGAGGAGAAGAGAGGAGAGGAGAGGAGAGGAGAAGAGAAGAGAAGAGAAGAGAAAGAGTCAGAAGAAAGAAGAAAGAAGATGCAGGTGCGCGAAAAGGTAGAAAAGTCGCCGTTCACTGTGTTTTTCCAATGATTTGCGGCTTCGGAGGGTCGAAAAGTACGCTCGCTTAAAGCGGCGGGTGCGGAGCCATCTGGCCAGATGAGAGATGACAAATTGCACGCCGTTGTGGCGCGAATGACATGTCCAAGTCAAGATGTACAAAAAACACCAACGTCGGACCACTTTTGGAAGTTGAGATGTCGAAAAAGTGCACGCCGTTGTGGCACGAAGCACATTTCCAAGTCAAAATTTGCAAAGCACCTCAGTGCCGGACCGCTTTTGGAAGTTGAGATGTCGAAAAAGTGCACGCCGTTGTGGCGCGAAGCGCGTTTCGAAGTCAAAATGTACAAAGCACACCATTCTGGGAACACTTTTGGAAGTTGAGATGTTGAAAAAGTGCACGCCGTTGTGGCGCGAAGCACATTTCGAAGACAGAATGTACAAAACACCTCAGCCGCAGAGCGCTTCCGGAACGTGACATGTCGAAAAAGTGCACGCCGTTGTGGCGCGAAGCACATTTCCAAGTCAAAGTGCCAAAAAAACACATGTTCGGAACGCTTTTGGACGTTCAGATGTCGTTTTGTGTGGCAGTCCATTTCCGAAGGAAGCCTCGCAGAATTGCTTCGTTTTTGATATTGTCAACTTCGAAAATTGAGGAAGTCTCGCAGAAGTGCTTTGTGTTTGACGTTGTTGTCAAGTAAGAAGATTGAGGAAGTCTCGCAGAATTGCTGCGTTTTTGATGATGCCAAGTTCAAAAAGGGAGGAAGTCTCGCACAATAGCTTCATTTTCAAGCTTGCAGATAGATAGATCGATCGATGGATAGATAGACAACTGCAACTGCAACTACCACTGCGCTACACTACACTACTACAGCTACAAATATAGATGCAAATCTACTACACTACACTACACTCCACTCCGCTACACTACACTACGCTACACAACACTACACTAATTACACTACAACTGCATCTGCAACTGCAAATACAACTACTGCTACAGCTACAGCTACAACTACACTACATTACACTACGCTACACTAATTACACTACACTACAACTACAACTGCGCTACTTCACACTACACTAAACTACACTATATTACATTACAGTACACAACTACAGCACACTACAGTGCAATACACTACGCTACACTACACCACACTACACTTATTACACCACACACCACAACTACAACTACTGCAACTGCACCTACGAGTACAACTACACTACACTAAGTACACTACACTACAACTACAACTCCACTACACTACAGCACACCACACTACAACTGTGCTACACAACTACATCTGCGCTACACCACATTACATCCAGCAAGTGTGGGTGAGGTGACCACTGCAACTAGTGCAACCACTCCAAGAAACACAATTCCCCTTTCGTTCCATCAGCGGAATCGCTCTGCCATCCATGCATCACAACAACTCACCTCTCCTATAGTGTCCTATCCTTGAAACTTCCGCCACCGCCTTGTGCGGTACTACTGGTACATTTGATTCTATCAACCCGAAACTTTCGATTGACAATTTCAGAACAAGATCGTTGAACTTCTTCGGCCCGGAAGGAGTTGGAGATAGAACTTCTTTTGCTTTCGGGGAGTCAACCATATTGGGTTTCGATAGCTGAAAAGATTTAGGATCCTGCAGCTGAAGGAATAAATGTATCCGTTGCATCTGCCTGGTACTTGTCACACACTTGCTCAAAGAGTTCTCGCTCTCGACCCTGCCGGCTGGGACATGATTTAACAACAGATCATTTGTTGAGACAACCTTCCTCATCTTGTTTGCAAAATGCGCCTCGTATTTGCTGCATAGACCAGGCAGATCCTCGTATGTGAAACTGACAAATAAAACGACATAAGCTGCACATGCCAACAGAAGCGCGTGCCACGATCAAGAACTATCACAAATGTCTTTGAAAATTCTTTGAATATCTACTGTTTGCAGTGAAACTGAACAAAGGATGGGGCATTGGCTCTGCAGGCAGTTTTCAACAGGCACCTACTTGTCTCCATGTCGATTCACTCAGCAATCCACTGGCAACTTGGCGGGATTTTTTTCAGCGTACACTTGTCGAACCAGTGCTTTGTACCTCAAAGCATCTCAGAGCGATGCACTATACATTCCAAAGAAAACAATGTGAAAATACCAGTTCAAACATGTTTCTGTTGCGTTTTGAGTTTTGTGCTGAATTATTACTGGGGTTCCTTGATGGAGTTGTGAATCTCTACAGGGCTCTTGAAGTTCCGAATCCTCATTGAAATTTTCCAAATGACTTTAAATGCGTCTGTCTATTCATGTGAGGAGAGTTGACGAGAGGCCTGGAATGTTTGTTTGTCCTGTCTGTCAGTAGTGATTCTTGGCAACGGAGGAGGGCTCGATGTAGCCAAATTTATGATTCCCAAGGGCGGGGCAAAGAAACGAAATGTAGGAAAAACTGGCGCTGATGCCAAGCAATGTTGCGATGTATGTGGCTTCGGCTAAAAAATGGTTATATGTAAGCATATCCAAGTTCATGCCGCATGAATTTCTATATTACTCCTTGTGTTTGTACTTTATCTTTACATGTAGCCACCCAGGCATGCGAACACACATGCACACACATGTATGTGCGGTGGTGTTCGCGCTTATGTGTAATATCCATACCATACCATACCGTACCATACCTACCATACATACATATGTATATGTATGTGTATATATATATACACACTTTATATATATATGTATGTATGTATGTCTGTCTGTATGTATGTATGTCTGTACGTCTGTCTGTATGTCTGTATGTCTGTCTGCCTGTATGTCTGTATGTCTGTCTGTATGTCTGTATGTCTGTATGTGTGTATGTGTGTGTGTATGTGTGTATGTGTGTCTGTGTGTCTGTATGTCTGTGTGTCTGTGTGTCTGTATGTATGTGTGTAAGTGTGTATGTGTCTATGTGTGTATGTCTGTATGTCTGTCTGTATGTATGTCTGTCTGTATGTCTGTATGTGTGTGTGTATGTATGTGTGTATGTGTGTATGTACGTGTGTATGTACGTGTGTATGTACGTGTGTATGTGTGAATGCATGCATGCATGCATGCATGCATGGATGGATGGATGGATGGATGGATGGATGCATGCATGCATGCATGTATGTATGTATGTGTGTACGTCTCCACCAGCATGCACGTTCTCATGCGCATGGCTGGAAACATGCACATACTGGATCGAACTGCGGCTGCGTAAATACCACTGTTCATGCTGTGGGACCGATGCGGCAATACAGTATTGCAAGGTATCATACAATTTAGCGACAAAGAACTGTACACGGCACTCGCGTTTCCTCGGGGCACTGATCGGCAGTCAGCTGTGGCGAACCTGGCCTTGAGATTTCAGCCTGGCAACGCGCATATTCTGACAAGGGGAACGCTGTACAAGTCAAACACAAGTCGCAGGAAATCAAAAACAAAATTGTTTTTTGAAATTTGTCAAGGGTTTGACAGCAAGCTCTGACTGACGCTTTGGTCGTGTCTCCTTGACCGGCGGGTCATCGGCAGAGCCTTCAATCACCTCACTCCAAAGACAGGCAGACACCTATGAATCTACCAAGCTCACATAGCTCACTAAAAGTCTTCACGTTTTGATCAATGCATCTTGGATAAACTGACCCTGTATCAGCATCAACCCGATGGTTGATCCACAATGTGTTATTACATGTGCACAGCGTTGTTCTCCTTCACACCGTGTCTTCTTGTGTAGGACTACAAGCTTCCCCAAATTTGGAGATTATTGAAACAACGCATCAAATGATGCAAACTAGTGTTGACGGGGCAATCAAGAAACAATCAGGCCCTGGCCGCGCACATCACTTGAGCTGGTTGCCATTTCCCACCACTGACCTGTGATTTCTGTTAATTAGGCCAGTCCAAGGACCGAACATGTCTTTAGAGTTCACAACCAAAACTGCAACGATGCCACACTGGCACTGAAAAACTGCGCTTCTGTGACTTCTGCGGGTCCATAGTTAGCTATTTAACATCACTTGAATTCAATATTGATCATATTGACGACAATGCCCCTCTGTCATGATTTATCTGAGTCAAGCTGGTAGCTCGCAGCAGCTAGTCAATGAAATCTAAAAAGCTACGGTGCCTCCATCCAGCCGTCGCTTGTTTTGGCGAAGTGCTGGGAGTCCTTCCTGAAGGCCCAGCCTGCATTGAAAGACGGCCAAAAACATCAAAAAACTGCAGCGGGCCTTGCTGCTCTTTGCTTCAATCTTCAAATACGGCCGTGCAAAGCAAAAGAATAACGCAAGAACAGATGAGAATGGCCTGGAACCGAACCGTCTTTTGCATTCTGACAGCTCCCTCTGTCGCAAATGGCCCACCTGAGCCGCACACAGGTAAAGTATGGAGCTGCTGCAGCTCACTCGTGTTTGAATCACTTTGACCAGAATTCGCTTCGCCACTTTTGACCCTAATGCTGCTGCCTGTCCATTGAGCTTTGCCAGTAGATGAAGTAGCTCCCACTCAGGTTCCAAAAGCTGGCCTCTCGTTGACTATTAAGACTCAGAGAAAAAGTGAATCTGATTGAAACATGTTCTGCTTGATTCCATCGTTAAATACACAACAAACAACCCAGAACAATCATATCATCATTTAGCTGTGCATTTGCATGCGTCTACTGACATGTGTGTGTATTTCTAAATTGTCTAAGTATTTCTCATTTGGGCTGTCACTCGAGCTGTGAACAAACTCGCAGCTAGCCAATGCATGGTCGTAGCCTTGCCCTGAATTGGCTGATTAGGCTGCTCCAAATACTGGCCGTTGAGCTCCTCACCAAAAGCAAGACTTTGCAGATTTTTGCAAAGCTCTTGGACCATTTTCCCAGGCAAAGTTTTTGCCGTTCTTCGACATCCCTATACAGTCTGCTCTCTGTAGCAATCTCGTCCACCTGAAAGCTTTAATGCCCATGTTTGGCCCTCCTGCATCTGGAAGCCGCTGAAGACTACTCGTAGCCTCTTTGGGCTAGCTGAACTTCCCCCGTCAACCTCAGAAGACAAGAGAGGAAGTTCATCCAGTGAGGATGTCTCCGCGGACAAAATGTACAAGAAGCAAAGCTAGGAAAACATACCAAGGCTGTTTTAGAAGATGCAGTATCAAATATGTATTCAAATTTTGCTTTACTTGCATCATCCGTTTCCGGATAAATCTGGCATCAGTTCTCAATGGCTTGCCATGCATGAGTTCTCTCATCAGTCAATGATCTGTTTCGCTGAAAAGCATCCTCCTCCAATAATTCACTACAGTCTGGACACGTCGTTTTACTTTTACCATGCTATATCAATATCTAAATGTAAATGTATCTTTGTGATTTTGAAATTGTATATTCAGATTATGTAGTACATTAAAGATTACTATCGTATATAATAAGTATATTTACATTTGGATATCTTTGGCATAACACGGAATGCTCTGGTCTTGGGTTTCCGTACAGGCGGCATGGGAGACACAGGCACTGGTGGAGGCGCCGGAGGTGGTGGTGGCGGCAGCCGAACCGACTGCATCACTGGCTGCACCACTGGCGCGTGCTGCGCGTGCGAAGCCACCTGTGTCACCGGCCGCACAAACGCTGCTGGAGGTCCGCTCTGCCGGGCAGGCGCTGGCATAGGCTGTGGAGGCGCTGGAGGTACCTCAACCTCGAAAGTAGACTCAGTCACTCAGTACACAACAATACACAACTGAGACTGAGCACATAACTGAGATATACTGTGAGTAATTGTATGTTACATTGAAAATCCTGGAAAGGCAAAAGGGGTCAGAATGAAGGCAGGTGTCACCATGAAAGTTGATTTTAAATGTGTTTGATGGACTTTTTGTTGTGTTGTTACGGTGCCGTTGTTGTTTTGTATGTTTTTCCCCAAACAGTGTGGCCACACTGAAGGGGTTCTTACGGTAAGTGTTAAGGCCCGGTGTTCGATCAAGGTGGTATCGGTAGCGTCCGGCATTTTCCCTGTAAATTACCGCACAGAACGCCTCTTGTGACATGTCCATGTGCATTTCGACTGCGCAGGCTTGCAAAAAAACGATGTCCCCGGAGGTGTCCCCAGTCGTTCTTCCTGTAATTTTCCATACAAAATGGCTCTTGTGCAATGTCCGTCTGCATTTCGACTGTGCAGGCTCGCACAAAACGGGCCATTTCTCCTGTAAATTTCCATGCGAAATGGCTCTTGTGCGATGTCCGTCTGCATTTCGACTGCGCAGGCTCGGAAAAAATGATGTCCCCGGAGGTGTCCGTGGCCATTTTTTCTGTAATTTTCCATACAAAATGGCTCTTGTGCAATGTCCGTCTGCATTTCGACTGCGCAGGCTCGCACAAAGTGTGCGTCCTGGTCTTGGGATCGGTCTTCCTCCTCAACATCCTCCTCCTCCTTCTCCTCAACATCATCATCTTCCTCAACCTCAACATCAACACCATCATCTTCCTCCTTCTCCTCCTCCTCATCATCATCATCACCACCATCACCATCATCATCACCATCACCAGCACCAGCACCATCACCATCACCACCACCACCATCATCATCATCATCAAAAAATCATCATCATCATCATAATAATAATAATAATCATCATCATCCTCATCCCAAAATAGTAATAATATTAATAAGAATAAAGCAATAATAACAATAATAAAAATAGTCATAATAATCAATGATAATAATAAATATAATAATAATAATAAAAACAATAATAATGATAATCATAATAATCAATAAGAACAATAAAAAATAAGACGATAATAATAATAATCATAATCATAATAATAATATACTAACATAATAATTATAATTAAAAAATAATATTATTACAGTAATAATATGTAATAATAATACAGTAATAAGAATCATAATTAATCATCATCATCGACATTACCATCATGATCAACATGATCATCATGATCATCATCATCATCATCATCATCATCCACATTAATTGACACCGTCATCAACATAAATCAACATTATAAATACATTATCCTTGTACTCCCCCCCACACTGTTTGGGGTCTCTTGCCGGGATAATTGTTTCAGACTCGTCTCGTCTCGGGATTTGAGCTTCTGACCCTTGCTTTCTTGGTTCCACGCATCATCTCTTGGACCTGGCTCGGAGCTGAGAGGAACCTCCAATGTGTTCTGAGCTGAAAGACTTTGGGAGAAAAAAACGAAAAGAGATGCATCAGAGATAGATCATGATGGATGACAGATACCTAATGATACCTAGTATATCTTAAAGTATTCTATAGTATGATAGATCAGACATCAGAATCATCAGACTTTTCAAATGCCTCTGGAGGCAAATCTTCTTCCACAAACTGACCGGTGGCAGCATCCCACCTGGAGTGAGTCCAGCTGAGTCGAAATGAGAAAATCACGTGAAAGCGACGCAGATCGAGTCATGAAGAGTCCAAACCCAGAAAGAACACAGCAAGAAATGATGTTAAATTTCTAAGTGAAATCAAAGAATATGAAAAAATATGCATTATCGAAGGAAGTTTGGAAGTCAAACTTCCGACAATATGGAGAGATGAAAAAGCAGTCAGCAGGGAGAAGAGTCAGAAGAGAAAAGATCAGAAGAAAGAAGATGCAGGTGCGCGAAAAGGTAGGAAAGTCGCGAAACATGGTGGTTTTGTGGCTCCGGAGGGTTGAAAAATAGGCTCGCTAAAGCGGCGGGTGCGGAGACATCTGGGGAGATGAGAGATGAAAAGTTGCACGCCGTTGTGGCGCGAAGCACATTTGGAAGTAAAATGTGTTAAAAACTGAGGGGTTCGGACCACTTTTGGAAGTTGAGATGTCGAAAAAGTGCACGCCGTTGTGGCGCGAAGCACATTTCCAAGTCAAAATGTACAAAGCACACCATGCTCGGACCACTTTTGCAAGTTGCGATGTCGAAAAAGTGCACGCCGTTGTGGCGCGGAGCACATTTCGAAGTCAAAATGTACAAAACACTACATGTTCGCGCCACTTTTGGAGGTTCAGATGTCGAAAAAGTGCACGCCGTTTTGGCGCGAAGCACATTTCGAAGTCAAAATGTTAAAAACACAATTCTCGGACCACTTTTGGAGGTTGAGATGTCGCTTCGCTTCACTACACTACATTACGCTACACTACACTCCACTACACTACGCTCCACTACACTACACTACATTACACAACACTACAACTACAACTACACAACTACACTCCACTACACTAAATTACACTACACTACACTACATTACACTACACTACACTCCACTACACTACATTACGCTACACTGCACTTCCTTCCACTACACTTCACTACATTACACTACACTCCACCACACTACAACTACAACTACAACTACACAACTACACTCCACTACAATACACTCCACTACACTCCGCTACACTAAATTACACTACACTACACTACCTTACACTACACTACACTCCACTACACTACATTACGCTACACTGCCTTCCACTACACTTCACTACATTACACTACACTACATTCCACTACAGTACAACAACAACTACAACTACGACTACACAACTACACTCCACTACACGAAATTACACTACACTACACTAGACTACACTACATTACACTGAATGACACTGCACCACAGATAGACAGGTAGACAGATAGACAGATAGATAGACAGACAGGTAGACAGCTAGACAGATAGACAGATGAAAGAGAGAGAGATATAGATAGATAGATAGATAGATAGATAGATAGATAGATAGATAGATAGTAGATAGTAGATAGATAGATAGATAGATAGATAGAAAGATAGATAGATAGATAGGTAGATAGGTACATAGGTAGATAGGTAGATAGGTAGATAGGTAGATAGGTAGATAAGTAGATAGGTAGATAGGTAGATAGGTAGATAGGTAATGAGATGAAAGAGAGAAAGAGAGAAAGAGAGAGAGATAGATAGATCGACAGATAGATAGATACATAGAAGATAGGCTGGTAGGTAAGTAGATAGTCAGAGAAAGAGAGAGAAAGAGAGACCTCAAGCACCTTTCGGTCCATCAGTGGATTCGCTCTGCCATCCCTGATTCACAACAGCCAATCTCTCCTATAGGTTTCCTATTTTTGAAACTTCCGCCACCGCCTTGTGCGGTACTACTGGTATAAAAAGACTGTCTGGGTTTGCCATAAATCAAATTGTTGCGTCCACGAATGAATCTGCTGAGGAGGGAGCGTTCGAGCTTTCGGCGCATCATCTTGGGACTTTGGGTCTACCTGATTAACTGAATGCTAGATCATCTTGGTGAATTCTACGCATGTGGGCGAGTTTGATGTTATGCGCATGCACTTTCATGCTACAGTAGCAGCTTTCACAAGTCGCGACATTTTGGCACATTGACTTGTTCTGCCCAGCAGATCCCCACACATTGCAACACCAAATCGTGACCCATTTCTTGACACGATGAACGATGAACGTCCGCAGAGTGAAACTTGTGTGAAACAAAGCTGCTAGGCTAGACGGAATATCTCATTGGACTCACGTGCCTTGGGACGGAAATCTCATCCGCTAATTGCAGTGAATATTTCTGGTGCATGCTCATCATGATGTCATCATTGCTCATCGAACTGAATCCATGTTTGTCCAAAATGGCTGGGGCTCTGCGGCAAAGTCAACGCAACTAGGCTCGAAATATGCTCAGGCAACGACCAGCAGCAAAGGCTTTGGAGCACATTTCAGGACTCGCTGTGAACAAGCTTCCACTTGGCCGCTTCCCAATCCTTGTGAAATCTTCGAACCAAATTGCTTGGATTACTATAGAACTATCGGCCAAATCGACTCCATGCGAATCTTCAAAAGTGACAGTAGTGAAAGGGAATATGGATGAATATGGTACAGCTTGTACATGTAGAATCATGTACAGTATATACTGCGCGACAATCTGACAGAGAATTACAGAGCTCAAGGTTGTCCGAGGTTTTCAGTGACTTCTCAGGTGCTGGCAAATTCCGACCCCACATTTACAAGGACCAAAAGGCGCAAGGACCCAGCCTCCGGCTTCGCAAGTCTGTCGATAAGTGTGGCAATGCATTTGCTTGCATACGGTACTATACGGTATTCACACTTGATTGATCATGATTTATCTATTGGTTTTACACGTTTTTACCATGAAATCACAGCATTTCAGAGTGTTCTTTGTTGGGGCTGCCATAAGGATGTCGCTGCGAGGATCATAAATCCATTCCGACCTCTGCTTCTGTGAAGAACTCAATGGCTTGACCAGCCTCAGCTCAAATGTGGCAGTGCAGAGATACACATGGAGATCTGTGGAGATCTGTATGAGAGCGTTGACCGAGAAATACCAGGAATCCGGCAACTTGCAACTGCTGTCTTTTCAGCCGCTGCTTGTCCATGTGTGTCTCTTCGGTACCCAGACATGCAAATGTTGAAACCTGGTTTGCACGCCATCAATGCGGACAGGTTTTGGAAGTCACGCTGCTAATGAGGCATCATAGGCGCAAAATTCAGCCAGTTACTAGTTTTCGTTCGCAGCTGCAGCCAAGAGGGGTTTTGTCTCTCACCATCTCTCACCATCTCTGACCCCAAAATGGATTTAACATGACTTAACACCATTGAAGCACACCTTACCATCCTGATATGCAAGTGATGAAACAATGCTGAAAGGTGCTGGCCTCGTTGAATGGCAACAGCAACTTCTTGTCGCTCAGGCCAGTATACAGAGACACCTTCAGCATCGCCCAATTGGCAAAACAGTCTTCGCTTGGCTTAATGAAAAGAGATGAAAAGTCTAGAATTAGAAGGCACAAAACTCAAACTCGATTTGATTCGATGACATCCATGTAATTTGGCTATATCATCTTGTTATCTTTATGTACGGAGCAACAAAACCTATGCGTGTTTTTGGCAATCAGCTGACTCGCTGCATTAAAGCATATTCGTGCTGTACACCAGGTGTGGCGGGGCATTCTGCACATGTATACCCGCACGATTAAAGTAGTGAAACAAGGCGAAAAGCCTGAGAAGATGATGTCAGAAAGAGGAAACATCAGGAGACTAGATGAAAGAAGAAAAAACAAAATAAAACAAGAAAGTGAAAAAGTGAATAACGCATTGGGGCAGCTTTCTACAAACCCGCTCCTGCAAAGGCTGCTCTTCCGCAAAAAGTTTTGCAGTGAAGGCTTGTAGACCAGCCTTAGCAGCAGTTTTCCCATGTTTTCCCGTTGCGCACAGCTGTATTTTCCGTTGCATTCATGGCCTTGGAACATCTGGAACTTGTAAATTTTCCCTTTTCAATAGTGCTCAGCACAGGAGCATCCAAGGGGCCTGGGTAGTCGCTGTTGCCTCTGGAAAAGGCCCAGCAACAAAGTCCTCTCCCAAATCTGGCAAAGACAACGTGGAATAAAGCAAATGCAGCAGCAATGTAGTCAATCTGATCTTATTCCACAAGCCAGTGCCAAGTGAATGATGATGAAACCGAGATCAACCCATCTATTTTGCTGCATCGGAGCTGCCTGCGAGAACATGTTGGCCACATTTAACATTTGTTAATATGAAATTCCTTTTGAATTCCGGTCCTCAGTAGCTGATCTATCTGCTTGGGCGTCAGGGTCCTGAAGTGCACGGCACATGACAGAATTGTCATCTCAAAAGCGGCTTCCAGACCTTGGGGACGAGGAAATCGCTGGGAACCTGAGCATTTCTCACCGCGCGGCAAAGCTTGAAATGTAGGAGGCACCGGTACCCGCAGAGTCAGGTAAGTATCATTTTGATGTATCTGAATATATCTTAATCAAGTTAAAATCTGAATCAAGTACCAAGATGCACCAAGTGTGTACAGCATTGTGCAGCAACCGCAGCAAGTCAAGTTGTGTCACCAAGGATTCGGCTCCATCTGCTGTCGCCTTTTCAGACATTTCACGGAGTGCTGCGGCAGCGCTCTGAACCTTTTAGGTGCCACCGACATTTGTGGCAAGCCAGGCAAGCCACGTGAATAGATGCAATCATGATCCATCACGATCCATCATGCATCATATGCTTAATCATGCTTGATCTATCTTAATCTCTTCTAGTTGCAAAGCAGTCTGATTGCCTGGGCACATGAATAGACCCTGCCAAGCTGGTTGGCTTTCAGTCTATTATTATAAGATTGATATTTTGCCGGCTTGTGGGCACTAGCACCAAAGGACTATGCGCCCCACGCATTGCATCCCGTATTCTTGCAGAAAGGCTCTTTTGGCCTCATTGCAACTCACCCTTACATACAATTGAAATTGGAGACAGAACGTCAAAAGAAAGAGAAAGCAAAACATTGGAGAAGAACCATGACATGCAACATTTGCAACATAATTGATTGTGATTACAGTGATTACTTGAAATACATCCTGTAACTTTTGCAGACGCTTGCCGCCAGGAAAGAAACCTTTCAAGATCTTCCGTGATGCTTCAGGCCCTTTCTGACTCCCTGCCTCCTCCTGCTCCACTGCGCCAGATGCAAACTTGCCGTTCATGGAGAAGCCCATGAAGCGCTGGCACAGTGGGGCTTTGTAAGGGTGGGATATAGAATTATACAGCTAGATATAGATAGTATATGACAAAATTTACAAACAATTTCAAGCATAATTGCTAACTAGTGTCGGGTCTTGCACATGTGACATCACGATCATCATGTGTCATAATATGGCAATATGATGCAATATGGCTATGCCATGCCATGTTTCTGTTGTCTGATTCGAACCCCATATCTTCAATGTCTTCAACACATAGTCGGGTGGAACCATGAATGGGCCCTATTAACATCTCTCAACTGCTTTTGGGTGCCTTTGAAATGGAGCTGATTTGATATGTGGACGAAGCCACGGGCTGATGAAGCAACAAGGTTCGCCCTCTATGGTGTGATGCGATTGGGCACTTTGATATCTTTGTGCCAGACCTTGTCAGCACCAACAGAAAAGTACAGATACATCCCGTAGCCGTGCATGTAACCATCTTTCCACCTTGGTGTGACAGTTTCCGAAGAGGATCAAAGTATGTGAAAGTCAACAAGCCAATATGCTTCGACATGCTGTGGATCTCACGTGCCCCGGTATTCTCGACCGTCAGGCCACCGGTAGTCTCCCACCTGGAGGTCTACAGCAATAAACGATGACAAACGATGATACGTGGATGGAGCATCGAGATTCGATTCGTCAAGGTCAGCGGCTGGTGAGCACACTAAAGACCTTTGCCAAACATGACCAGACCACTCCATGAAACTTGTTGTTGCGGTAGTTGCCGGTGTACACCTCAGCACATTCTCATAGCGAATGAAAACATGCAGAACAGGATCCATCAAGAATGCCAAGGACTGACAATGAACTGGGTTTGCTGCTGCACCACTGCAACTGCAGTAGCGACCCATCTGACAAGGAGAAAAAGCAAAGCGGCTTTCAACAATCTAAAGCATCTGTGACAGCACATTGCACTGCATCTGAAATGAAGCCCTCGGGAGCAAGAAGCTGTCTTAAGTCAAGCATCACCAAAATTCAATGCGCTGCAGCTGACTAGCTGGCTCTTTCCCAGTGACTCGTGTCTGCTCTTTCAGCGTGAAGGGGTTCAACCCGGCTACTGTCAAATATTGGCCCAGTGCGTGCCTTGTACATTCCATTGTCAAATGAGCCCTGGAACGGGGCATCCACTCTTAAAACAAAAGCCAAAGCTCTGCTATAGCAAACTAATGCGAACTACTTTCTTCTCGAGGCACTGGCGAACCTCGAATGTTTCAGGTCCACTTTGCATCACTCCATCACCATGCATTGAGATGGACTCCCCTGAGACATGCTGGGAAAGCGAAGTTCTGCTGGAAGTTTCACTTTTTTTTCACAGGATTGTAGAACAGAACATGTCTGTGGAGATGTAGTCACCATGTAGTGCCTTTCTTCATGTACTGGCCGGAGTACGTAGAACCATCGGGGAAAACCTGGCTGAAGATGCCGGGCGAAGAAAATGCGACGAAGTCTCCTTGTCTCCTTGTAGTTCGTAAAATTTCTTAAGCATCCAACGAAGTCTCCTTGATGTATTTCAGGAGGCGGCTCTTCCTGCATCATTTGAAGCAGGGCGCCTACTCTCTCTCGTGCTCTCTCTCTCTCTATTTGTGTATATATATATTACATTATGTATATATATATATTACATTATGTGTATATATATAGATATATATATATATATATATCATAGAAGTCATCTAATATAAGTATACTTGATCAGAGTTGTACAGAGTTGGGTCATGATGTATCTGTGTACAAGAAATGTGTAAATATATGTAAATATTAATAGACATTGATAGACATTGGTGTAGAGTGTAGAGGCACTCATGTCCCTAAGCTAGAGCGGAATTAAAAAAAGAACGATGGAAAGGAAGATCCCCATGTCAGTGTAGGACTGCACCCCGCAGTAGGACTGCAAGCTGCAAGGCCGCTGCAACTGAAGGAGGCTTCAAATGTGCCGACAATGATTGAAACAATTTGAAGTCGCAACTCTCAACGAAGCCTTTACATCTTCCTCCACAGGCTCAGGAGCCTGCAGTTGCTGCAAGATCAAACCTATTTCACAAGACTACACTCTACACCAACTGCAACAAAAAGCGAAATCACTCATATCGACAAGTCTGTTCTTCATTGTTCTTACATCGTTCTATTCTGCTCTTGGTTTCGAACTGCTTTCTTCGGTGCCATGCACCTGCAAAGAAACACTCAAATGAGCAAACACACGTATAACTTGAGTGTTTCTTTGTTTTTTTTGCTCAAATTCAATACAATATAAAACACATGCGTATAAATTGTGGACGAGCAATAAACAGCTGAAAATCACATCAGGGACTTCTGTCTCCCCGAAGTGCGAGACTGGATCACAAAATTGCAAATGCAAAGGGGCAACAAACATTCACAAGCAGAAAAGGGGGCATGGAAAGGATCGCAAGAACATCTAGAAAAGTTACAGGTGAAAGAGCAGAAGAGGCAGCGAAGGAAACACGAAACTTGAAGAAAAAAACGACATCTGCTGTCTGCGGTTTCAAGGCAGTTTTCTGTAGGTTTCCTATTGCATAAGGGAGTGGCTGAGCCTCTAATCAGAAAGCGTCGGTGCGACCTGTGCACTTTGTGCCAAGGCCCTTTGAAGCTGTGAGCCGAAAGAGCCGAAACATGCAGAAACCATCCGCACACGTCTGCACACACCCTGAGCACCCCAAATAAGCAGGAGACTTCTACAATAGCTTCAGTGACAGGTTTTGAAAGAAAGCCAAGTCTATCATCGACTATCGTCTTCTCTTTTTTGTTGTATTGTGTTTGCTGTTCATTTGCTGTTCTTTGATGTGCCCTCAGAGAAATCTTAGGATGATACCTTTGGCTTGTCAGGCACAGAGCCAGGTCGCCGGCCTGAGGCTCAAGCGCGTTTGAGAGATGCCTACAGATGTAGAAGTAGGTGTATGTACACACACACATATATATATATATATACATACCCTGTACCCTGCACAATGTGGATATATAGGACATACTTTGACATCTTGATGTTCAGAAAGGATCAGGAAGGAAACCCTTTATATATATATATATGGTTGTTGATCAAAATTCCTTTATCCCGGAACGGCCATTCTTCGCGAATAAAAATTTTACTTTCGCGAAACTTTCGCGAACTCCATGTTTATCTTTCGCGGGGCCCATGTTGGCCAACAACACCTCTTATGAAGATTCGTTCACCACCTGCCAAATTACGCCAGAGAATCACGGATCACTTCTTGGTAGCCTTTTAAACATGCAGCTAGCATCACGCAATCCCTTCTCAGGACAGATTTTTTTTGCAAAGTTTACTGGCCCACCCCCTTCAACATGCACTTTGACTTTCGCCCGCTCTTTCGCATAACTTTCGCGGAACTTTCGCGAAAATATCCCTATTCACAGACCCCGGCCATCAGCAGGGGGTGCATTGAAGGAAAAGCGAAGACCAGGGGCCTGGGTGATTGGCTCTCGCAAAGCCTCACTTTTGGAAACTTGGCTACTGCTACTCGCATTCTCTGGTGCCCTTTTCCTGCCGGACCCCGGGCGGCAGTGGGTGGCAGCCCTTTACATATAATGATTATAATACCCAACTTTCGCGAAACTTTCGCGAAATAACATTTTACTTTCGCGAATTCGAAAAAAAACTTTCGCGAGGGTTTCCAACATAACATGCACGGCTTTCGCAATTAAAACTGCTTACAAGGACCTTTAGATCGATCACCATATATTGTATATTGAATTTCTGCGGATATGTGGGCTTCGAGGACTAAAGCACAATCACCGTGTGATGCAAACACATTCCAAATCAGGAAAAGCACGCGATTAGCTTGAGTCATCCGAAGTGACATGAGAGCAAGGACACACGAAGTTGAGCACCATGCCAAAAATGTCGCTGGCTCGAAACATCAAGTGGGCCTCCAATGGTCCACAAGCAAGACACTCAAACAAAAGGCAAAACATAGAAGCCACATCCACTCGCAATGAAACTTCCTGGGTCGAGGCTCAAGGCAGTGCCTTTGAGTATATGTATATTTTGGCATATCCATTATTGTGTAAGTATATAATATAATCATACAATAAAACTATATTACATAAGTATGTCATATGACTATTTTATATAAGCATATTCTATCATATCATAATCTATAATACACTGTACACATAATATTTTGACATAACTTGATTCATCGGGACAGCGTTGATGCCTTCACTTCACAATGGAGAGCAAGGGACAGCTGACGGAGCTCCAGAGCATTGCAAAGTGTTCGCCCTGATCGATATTGTACAAAAATGTACAAAGCTAACAGTCGTTGTCTTGAGAGTTTGCGGCACAGACGTCAAAAGACAAGGTCACCTACCCTCCGCTTCCATGTAAGAGGACAAATTTCGCAGGTGATTGAAGTTGCAGACCATAATAGAACATGCAAGCAGAAGAAGGAAAACTAATATACTTGTATTACATCTATCGAACCAAAGTCATTTCCACGTGCCTATCCAGGATAGTCCAAAATCCAAAAACATCTACAATTCAAGTTTTAAGAAAATTGCGCAAGAAATGTGCGGGAATTTATTCCTGTGCAGTTCACAGCTTTGAGCTTCTAGGAGTATTGCAGTCAAGTGGAGCCAGATTCTTTCAACGCCAGGAGGTGAAAGAGATTGAAAGAGATTGAAAAAGAGCTTCAGCAGCTTCTTGGTCGTCTCCCTGCAATTTTAGGGGATTGATACCCTTCCGTAGCTCTACGAGGACGGCCAGTCGGACTCCAGCACGTTGTTGGTTGACACATGAGTTACATGTTTGACTGGCGGTCCCCCTGGTGAATCACGTCTACCACTTTAAGGTAGGTTCCTTAGGTTACAAGACATTCAAGTTCTCAAGACAATTCCAGGATATTCCAGGCCCAATTCCAACTGCCAGCTCTGCAGGCTTCAAAGGAATGATTGAGAAGGTGAATTTAGGAAAGCTCACTCCAGAAACTATCAGCCAGCACCTGCCAGGCAAAAGGCTTGCTGGAAAACTGAATCTAGTTTGGAGGAATCACGTCTCCGCTGCTCGACCTGCGTGACAGCTACAATTCATTCTGAGCTTCTCATGGAAGAAAATCCCGCAGAGTGTCCACATAGAATTCTGGCTGGATGCCTTCAGTGCCTTTCTTTCTGGGCACCTTGTCCAGTAGCTCATCCTCACTTGTGACCCCCGAAAGTGTCAAGCAAGTTTTCAGGCCATTGTTGCGTCCGAAAGCGATGTCAGTGTCCAACCTATCACCGACCATGCAAATGCGGGATCGGTCAGTGATGCCATACTTCTGGGCAATGTAGTCAATCATCAAAGGAGCTGGCTTTCCAACCAATGTTGGCTCCCTTCCAGTGCAACCTGATACTGCTGCCACCATTGTCCCACCTCCAGCCCATTCTTGAGCGTGCGTCAGATGGGTAACGCGGTCCAGATTGGTGGCAATGAACTCGCACCCTGGCAACTCATTCAAGCACAACTGGGCATACTGCAACTTGTAGTAGCTGATGTGACGGTCAAAGCCAACCACCACTGCCCCAACATCATGATCAAAGTCCACCTTCCCACCAGAACCCATGTCCGGTTGCTTGCCCGCATCTTCTTCTCCTCCCAACCAGGGGACACCGACCAAATCGAGCTCCTCAGAGATACCTTTCTCTCCAATGATGTAGACCTTCTTGCCAGTGTCTTTGAACTTGGTTTGCTCCAAGTACGCTGCTGCTGCAAAGGATGATGAGAAGATTTCCTCTGGCTGGACATTCAAACCCAACGATGTAAACTTTGACTGATATCCAGCGCGACTCTTGGTGGAATTGTTTGTCACAAAGAACAGCTTCTTGCCATCTGCCCGCAGTTTGTCCAGAACATCCGGAACCCCTGGAATAATAAAATCACCTCGCCAAAGGACACCGTCACAATCAAAAATGAAAATATCAATCTCCGATAGAAGTTTTGAAGGCTCCTTCAATTTCTCAGGCTGTGTCATGCTCGCACAAATGGTATCATCGGGTATCATACACTGTGAGACTGGCTGACTTGATCCGAAAAGCGCAAACCATCTGCACAGCATGCAACAAATGGAAGCATCTGCAACATCAAGCTCACTAACTGCAATTACAAAGCAATCAAATGAAATCTCAGCAGAATCAAAAGCCACATGCTGGTGATAATGGGCTTCAGTACTTGTCTTTGCGTGTCAGCTGCCACAATGAACATGGCAAATTCACAACATTTCACAAGCTGTGTCAGAGGCCTGCCCCAAACACCCTCAGGCCGTGCGGCAATCTTTTTGCGCCTCTAAACAGTCCACTCGGAGTCTGTGGCATCTTGAGGATTGAACTGAACTGAATTATTGGCCTGACAAGACCCGCGACGGAAAATCTTCTAAGGTACTTTGTACCATACGATTGCGGGAATGTCTGTGTAGACTACAGGAAAACACTTTGCTCTCTCGCCTGAACTTGGAAACCGGTGACACATGACGTCTCAGACAAGTGCTAGTTGCTCCACTAGCTGAGTCTCATGCCCGGATGCCATAAAAGTCACAGATCGTGTCCACATAGAATTCTGGCTGGATGCCTTCAGTGCCTTTCTTTCTGGGCACCTTGTCCAGTAGCTCATCCTCACTTGTGACCCCCGAAAGTGTCAAGCAAGTTTTCAGGCCATTGTTGCGTCCGAAAGCGATGTCAGTGTCCAACCTATCACCGACCATGCAAATGCGGGATCGGTCAGTGATGCCATACTTCTGGGCAATGTAGTCAATCATCAAAGGAGCTGGCTTTCCAACCAATGTTGGCTCCCTTCCAGTGCAACCTGATACTGCTCCAACCATTGTGCCATTACCAGCCCATTCCTGGGCATCTGTCAAGTGTGTCACTCGGTCCAGATTGGTGGCAATGAACTCGCACCCTGGCAACTCATTCAAGCACAACTGGGCATACTGCAACTTGTAGTAGTTGATGTGACGGTCAAAGCCAACGATCACTGCGCCAACGTTGTGGTCAATCTCCACCCTGCCTCCCGAACCCATGTTCGGGGACTGGTCTTTGTCTCCTTCTCCTCCCAACCAGGGGACACCGACCAAATCGAGCTCCTCAGAGATACCTTTCTCTCCAATGATGTAGACCTTCTTGCCAGTGTCTTTGAACTTGGTTTGCTCCAAGTACGCTGCTGCTGCAAAGGATGATGAGAAGATTTCCTCTGGCTGGACATTCAAACCCAACGATGTAAACTTTGACTGATATCCAGCGCGACTCTTGGTGGAATTGTTTGTCACAAAGAACAGCTTCTTGCCATCTGCTTTCAGCTTTTCAATGACCTGTGGAATTCCAGGAATAATGGAATCACCTCGCCAGATCACACCGTCACAATCAAAGATGAAGATGTCAACGTTGTCCAAAAGAAACCGAGGGACCTGCAACTTTTCAGCTTTGCTGAGCACAGTTGTCCCACCTTGAGGACTGCAAGCTGCTCTTTTCACCTTCTTTGATCGTCTTGCAAGCGCAGTGGCTGCCACAGCACCCAATGACAAGGCTGAACGGGTGCTGATGTATTGCCGAGTGCCGCTCACACCGCCCGCAATGGTTGCTGTCGGCTTCTTGGCAGTCTGGATGCTGCGATGAGCGACTTCAGGAAGGACTCCACCAACGAATGCAGGCTGGGATGAGCCCAATGCCATTGTGGCCATGCCAAGAGTACTCGACTATCTCAATGTCCAGTGCCCTATGCAGAGCCAATCTGCAGGAAGACTCTCACTTTCTGCAGATAGATACTCCAATGCGTGGCTGATCGTGAATAGCTGGGTCACATGTCTCATGGTATGCAGAAGATATGCAAGCGACATGAAAGTAAATGCAGCTGTAAAATTTGCAAATGCATTGAGTCATTGAGACCATGATCCCCATGTCCTTCGTTCTTCCCTTTTTCCCGCAGCACGACCTCGTCCTCCCCCCCAGGTCTTCCCTATCCGCAGGACCATTCCGTCAAGGAAATCTCTGTGTAATTATGTGTGTGTGCGCGCGGGTGTGTAAGTGTGAGCGCGGATGAGCGATGGTGCATATGTGATCATATGATGTATGATTGCACGTGTTTGCGTTTCAGTCTCAGCGAGAGTCAATGAGAGTGTGTGCATGTGCTGCTGGATTGGTTCGGCGGATGTCCCACTCAAAACAACTAAGCCCTCGCAGACTTTGCAAAGTCAACGAGACGGCAGGAAGCTGCTTGCTAGCGAAATATGCCTAGCGAAACGCTGGCAAGCAAGGTCCAGTGATAAGCAAGGCTGGAGAATCAGCAGCTGAAATCCCGTTTCTCACTGGAAGGCTCTAGTGCTCGTGTTTGATTCACATGAAAGGTTTCATGCAACTTGGGACTATTGTAGAAACATCTCTGGAACCCCGTCTGTTAACCTGTATTTGCATGTATTTGCAGAATTTGTACAATCCTTTGGCCAATCAACCTGGATTCTGAAGGGCAGGGCGTTCAGCAACACCACTGCAAGCCACAGGTCACGTCACGGTCACGTGACGGTCATGTGACGGTCACATGTGGCAAAACTTGTCTCAGTATCTTTGGCACTGGTGACCCACTGGTGAGACGAAAGTGAGACCTCATGACCACAAGTCTCGGATATAATTTGAGGCAACTGCGGCAGCCGAATTCTCGGGCGTCAGGGCTGCCTGTTTTCAGGATCAACGTAGATTTCGAAGTTGTGCCTGCATATGCGATCGGCGATCTGAATGGACAGATCGGACAAACTCCGAATTTGCTTCGATCCCTGCAATTCGGGCGCTGCAAAACCTATACCCTTTGGAAAAAAATGTGTGCGTGTGTGGGTGTCTGATTCCGACGAAGGTGTTGAACCTAGGCTAAACTGAAATCCAAAGTTGTAAGCACTTCAAGATACTTCAAGCACCAACATGAAAATGATGAAGACGAATGAAGACGAACCGCGCCAAAGCGATCTGGAAATCACAAGACATCAATAGAATGCAATGTGCCCAGGCTTCTGAAATCCTTGAATGCCAGCCTGCTGCTAGTGGCAATCTGCTCATCCAACAGTTCGGCAAGATTCTGACGAGACAGTTCAAGTCTAGGGTATCCGGTATACGGTATACATTCAATGTCTGGTCGCTAGACCAAATTATGTATATACCCACTTGCAACATGGAAAAACTCGAAAGAAGTGAGGCTGGAAAACATCAATGTGTAAGCAAACAAAGAAAAACAGACAACAGAAAGCAAACAAAGGCCTGAGATATCTGAGATCGTCAATGCAGAAACAAAGACACCGGCCGAAAAGAAAAGAATTCGGAAGAATTTTATAAACGTGTCTGGTACAGTTTGCTTTACTATGCTTTACTTATTGATGTTTCCTGCCTGGCTTTGTGCTTGACGATTTGCTGGCACTGGAGACCCCTCTGATTGTGGGGACTCCGGCGTCTGGCCCTTCCACAACTTCCATGAGCTGAAGAAAGCTACATGAAAATCATCAATTCTTCGTTGTGATATGTTGTAACAATATCACAACTGTCATGTTTTCTTTCTGGACATATTGGCACCTGGTGCATCAGTTCCTCTGGCACTGAAAGAGCCAACTCCTTTGGCAGAAAAACTTCTGAGCAAAATGACAGGAGTCTGAAATTTCCAAAACATACAGTAGATCTGGGAGGCGAACGGAGGCTAGGGCAATTTGTAAGTAAAAAATGAAATTTGTGAAGACATGATATCAGGAAATATTAAATAACAATTTGTTTCGTATAAATCCGCACGCACCGAAGGTGCCGAGGCGTGGTAGTTTAGCAGCGAGGGATACGAACGGCCGCGAAGGAGTCTGGAAGGTCCATTTTTGGGCACTTTTTTGGCGAATGCCAAAGGCCAAAACATTGTAATTTACAGTGTCTTGTGCTGTTGGCATGGAAAAAAAATCTTGGAACGTGGAGAAAACTACATAAATACCCGTGTTTTTGCTAGGCGCCGTTCAAAAAACACTGTAAATACCGTGGGTTTTGCGGCCTGAAACAAAAAAAATCGTAAATACCGCCGTGGTTTTGGGTTTCCGAGGCGCCAAAAAACATCGGTTTGACAGTGTTTTTTGCTCGGAGAGTCTTCATAAAACCTGACAACGCAACCTGTCACAACATATTTGACAATTTTTCGGCCCTAACATTTCAACTAGACGACGGATGGCCCGAGAGCGTAGAGGAGCAGGGACTTCTCTTGTTAGTATGGAGACACCATATTACAAAACATTATATTAAAGATGTGTTATAGGCAGTCGAGAAGACTAGTAACAAGACAATATAGCACAAGTACAAGACAATAGTTTGCATCGCAAACACTTTTACACACAGAAGCTTTTACACACAGACGCTTTTACACACAAAGGCTTTTACACACAGAAGCTTTTACACACAGCAGCTTTTACACACAAAAGCTTTCACATACAGAAGTTTTTACAGACATACACTTTCACACACAGACCCTTTTACACACAGACGCTTGTACACACGGACGGTTTTACACACAGACACTTTTACACACAGACGCTTTTACACAGACGCTTTTACACAGACGCTTTTGCACACGAACGTGTCTGCGCGAAAGAAGATCTGGAAATGCTTGCGGTCATGTTTGCTCGGACAGTTCCGGTAGCAAACAAACAAACATTCGTGCCAACCTCAGCAAGGAAATGTTATGCTAAAATGTTACCCACAAACTCCACAATCCAAAAATCAGTGAATCCCAATGTAACTTCATTAATCCATTCATGTTTCTTTCAGGGTAAAAGTAAGCATGCCTACTAAGCATGCCAAGCAAACAAGTCAGGACTACGTCAAACTTGCCAGCAAGGCCTGAACATGACAGGGATGACCGGAAAACAAACATGCCAAAGAATCAACGGGGCAAGAAAACAAAACATGTAAGCAAGGCTGCTTTTACACACACATTGCCGCTGTCACACAGAAACACCTTTTACACAGAAACCCTTCTGCACACACACCATTTTACACAGAGCCGCTTTAACAAACAAACCCTTTTACACACAGACACTTTGACACACACACAAAAGCTTTTACACACAGACACTTCTATACAGATGCACTTCTACACACAAACACTTTTACACACAAACATCTTCACACAGAAACACTCTTACACACAAACCCTTTTACACAGATACACTTTTACACACAAAAGCTTTTACACACAAACACTTTTACACAGATGCACTTGTACACACCAACACTTTTACACACAAACATCTTTACACAGAAACACTCCGACACACAAACAAGTTTACACAAAAACACTTTTACACACAAACACTTTTACACACAAACACGTTTAAACAGATGCAATTTTACATACAATCACTTTTACACACAAACATCTTTACACAGAAACATTCGTACACACAAACCCGTTTAAACACAAAGACTTTCACACACAGAAGGTTTTACACACAACACTTTTACACAGATGCACTTGTACACACAAACACTTTTACACACAAACATCTTTACACAGAAACGCTCGTACACACAAACCCCTTTTCCTGCGAAAGGATTACTCCAGCACACGATAAATCGCAATTTTACCGCAGTTTTTGCCGATCGACCCTCATTTCGTGCGAAAGGGTTGCTCCAGCACACGAAAAATCGCAATTTTACCTCAGTTTTGGCCGATCGGCCCTCATTTCGTGCGAAAGAGTTGCTCCAGCACACGAAAAATCGCAATTTTACCTCAGTTTTGGCCGATCGACCCTCATTTCGTGCGAAACGGTTGCTCCAGCACACGAAAAATCGCAATTTTACCTCAGTTTTGACCGATCGACCCTCATTTCGTGCGAAAGGGTTGCTCCAGCACAAGTAAAATCGCAATTTTACCTCAGTTTTGGCCGATCGACCAACATTTCGTGCGAAAGGGTTGCTCCAGGACAAGTAAAATCGCAATTTTACCTCAGTTTTTGCCGATCGACCCTCATTTCGTGCGAAAGGGTTGCTCCGGCACAAGTAAAATCGCAATTTTACCTCAGTTTTTGACGATCGACCCTCATTTCGTGCGAAAGGGTTGCTCCGGCACAAGTCAAATCGCAATATTACCTTAGTTTTTGCCGATCGATCCTCATTTCGTGCGAAAGGGTTGACGTTTCGTGACTCGCCGCCGGTACCACCCTCGGCCTAAAGAGAGAAAGATAAAGAAGGCGAGAGAGAGACTAGACGACGGATGGCCCGAGAGCGTAGAGGAGCAGGGTCTTCTCTTGTTAGTATGGAGACACCATATTACAAAACAATATATTAAAGATGTGTTATAGGCAGTCGAGAAGAGGAGTATCAAAACAATATAGCACAAGTACAAGACAATAGTTTGCATCGCAAACACTTTTACACACAGAAGCTTTTACACACAGAAGCTTTACACACAGAGACTTTTACACACAGAAGATTTTACACACAGAAGCTTTTACACGCAGAGGCTTTTACACACACAGAAGATTGCACACACAGAAGCTTTTACACAGACGCTTTTTACACACACGCTTTTACACACAGAAGCTTTTACACAGACACCTTTACACACAGAAACTTTTACACACAGACGCTTTACACACAGACACTTTTACACACACACGCTTTGACACACAGACACTTTTACACAACAGAAACTTTTACACACAGACGGCTTTAC